TTTAATAGTCAGTGACAGCTTGACAATCGGTCATTTAAATCGGAATGTAAATTTGTCAGAATTAGTCAGCAAATAAGACCTTTCAGATAATTATCTTCAATTTGAATTAAAATTAAATTAATTTATTTAGTATTGACATTAAAGGAAGCTGATTGAATTTTGATTTAACTCAGCATAACTTTATTTGCCTCATCAAATTGAGTCTTCAGAGCTTTAATCATCCATTAAGAGATTTTATTAATAAACAACCTCTTTTTTAATAAAATGTAATAAGCACCAAAAAAAAGTTAAGTTTTAATAAGTGTGTCTAAGTATTAATTCAATACTTAATCTTAAACTGTATCCTAACGCCTTACTTTTAAACCACATAAGTTTCATGTTTTCTGAAGTGATTATGTATTTTTACAACTGAATATTCTTATGTCAAACATTTTTAACTCCATAATTTTTTAAACAGTAAATCGTATTGACTCTGAAATATAATAACCGATCACTGGAAATTTGTATGATTAAGAAGCAAATCGTTAATAAATCGTTATAAATAAAATTATATTTTTCTGTGCATGCGACTGGCTCTTTATGTGGATATTATTTTTCCACACAAATTAGCCGAGTGCGAGATGCTGCATTGTGGGGCTGCAGGGTAGCGATAAACTTCATTGCTTCGAAATGAATTTTGCGCAAAACAATGAGTCCCGGCCGAGAAATCGGGTCTTTCTGGTCCCCTGAACTCACTGCGGCTGCAGCGGATGGGATGTGGATGTGTATGTGGATGTTGTTGATTCCGGGCTGCATATGCGTGCCAGGACCTCCTGGCCGAAAGCTAATGTCGGCAAGATCCAGAGCGTTGTGCAGGCAGGCGGAAAAGAAGAAGTGCCAGTACCCAAACTTATAATCGGCTCCGTTCTCTATCTGTTTGTGTTGTGTGTGGGTCGGCCACAATTCATTACTGAAAGAGGATTGGGGGGTTGCGGTTCCCGGTTTGTTTATGCGTGCGGCCCCTTTGATTGTCAGCCGGCAATTTTGCCAAAGGCATAATTGCTATCTATGCTCTTTATTGCGGTCTCGACAGCTGTGTCCTGTCGGTTCCCATCTCCCATCGCCTCCTGGAAACTGCTAAATTTAATGATGGAATTTCACAGTCCTCGCTAGAGAGGCTCATGTTGCACACGGGCCCGGTCAAGTTTCGTCCCTGATAATTTGCAAATCCCTGCGTCAATGGCCATGACAATGATTATGCCAACGAGAAACTTTTCGGTCGTCATTGTTTCCTTAGTGACTTTGTGTACCTCGGACCCAACTCCGCACTTGCAGCACTCAGCCCGCCTTAGCGCTTTCTTTTCAGCCCAAAAAGTTTACCAAACAAAACTTTTCCATTTACTCGGCCAGATGAACTGTGCGAGTACTTGTGACGTGCATTTCCACGCTGTCGCCACTGAGGTTTGTTCCTTTTAACGGCTCCGGTCGCCGGCCAAAAGTCCGTAGACAAAAAAGGCACGAATGCGGGGCTGGGATGCGGAGCGGCATGTCACCTGCATTACAAAGAAAACAGCCGGCGGAAAATGCTTCGATGGCAGAACTGAAAGTGGATACCCTCCTCCCAGGTATCTTTATTTCTCTGATTAATTTTTCCTATTTAATAGCTTAATGCTCAATTTATGTTAAATTTTGTTTTGTTTGGAAGCTTTTTCTCATTGAAAATCGTATCGTATTTAATAAGTTCTATTAGCATTAGACTTCTCTCAAAAGGGAATATTTCTCAAACTAAGGGATCGCTAACCGTAGTTTTTGGATATTTAAAACCTCTTAACATACATGAGAGCAGGGACCATCCGTGCCACTTAATAAACCCTTATAAAAAAATCCCTTATTAATTTAATATAATTATTTTTTTGCTGCAATAATTATGAAACGTGTTTTTCCCCAATTTACCCATAATAATCAAATAAGAAACGAATGAAATGTATGAAATGTATGTTATCCCCAAAACAACATTAGTACTTAAAAAAAGAAGTAATTTTCTCTAATAATAACTAATAAGTTTCAAAAAAATTTTTTTTTATGAAAACCATTATTTGATCTTGCTAAAAACTAAATTAAACCTCAACAAAACTTCGTTAAAGAGATACTGCTTTCAATACACATTAAAATGTTTTAAAAACGTAATTGAAAATGAGTTTAAAAGAATTTTTTTTGTATACATTAAACATAAAAAAGAGATGATTTTATTCGCATTTACTAAAATTCTGCCTTTGAAATGTTGCAATACAGCAGGAAATATAAATATTTTCCCCTATGATCTCCTGTGGGGCAACAATAAATTTTCTTCATTCTGTGAGACAGTTTTCAATATAAAATCAAATTGGACTTTAACCTTCAGTTCTCCTCTGCTGACATATTTCTAACCTTTGTACGGAGAACTCTTTTATTATTTTAGATCCATTCTTCACCTGTAGCTCGTTAGGGAAAATCGAGTGTTCAGCCGACTGACAGTTGCCGAGTTAAGGGGCGAGAAAGTTTCGTGCCCTGGCAGCTCCGCCCGTACTTACTTGCCCCATCCGGCTATTAATTGAAGGCCCATCATGGCCAGGCTTCACTTGTTTGCCGTTTGTTGAATCAATTTGCGGCAAAAACTGACGAAGCCGAAGTGGTTGTCGAAGCCAAAGCAAGAAGTAGATTGGGGTAGGTTGTTAGAGTGGGTGTGGAATGGGAATGGGAATGGCAATGGGAACGGGAATAAATCAATCAATTGCAGCAAGGAATGCTTTCGGCCACGCCCAGTTCTGGCAAAATTTTATTTGCCCTTTATTTGCGTCGTTCTCTCATTGTTGTTCCTCGCTGTACGTACATACTATATATATTCTTTCGCCTTTGTTTTTTGGCGGAACTAATTAACTTCCATTTAAATGAAAAACGAGCTGCGATTTGTGCCCATCGAATGAGCGTCATAAAGTCAGTCAGGGGAGAATAATGGCCCGACCCGGAGTGTACACACACTAACATTCACATGTCCGTGTTCGGCAGAGCGTTCAATGGGCCGTATACGTAATTTGAGGCATCCAAACACGCCAACCCATCGCCCACGGCCCACCTCCCACCGCCCACCGAGATGCTGTTAAAATTAATGCCAGCTCGTAAGTTTTACAAGGAATTCAATTTTTTGCACCACACCCGGCAAGACGGATAGCCGTCCTGCCCTCGGAAAACTTTGGCTCGCCGGGAAAAGTGTCTCATCTCTGGGGCTGGAAAGCCATCGCCCTTTGTTTGAGTTCTGCCGCTGAAAATTGATTCGAAAGTTTTGCCATTAAATTGTCCTTTGTGCCGTAATCGGTTGGCCCTTTGTTCAGCAATGGAAATGCACTTCGGCTTTGGTATTCATCCTTTTTATGGTTTTTATTATTCATTTGTTAACAGATCTTTTTTTTAAAAATGCAGTAGGTTTCATATGCATTAATTTTCATAGTTGTTCAATAAGGTTTTTTTTTTGTAAGAATTCGTTCTTATCTCTTTTTGTTTTATACAGTTTTCTGAGTGGCGGCTTATGCTTTGAGTTTATGAACTATGCGTTTAATTTATTTTCTTTTTTTTTCGAATGAACTTACGCCATGTTAATTATTGTTTTTCCTCTCGACTACTGTACAATGCTTTCAGTTAATTATAGTTATAGATATACGAATACAGACTACATAAAATACATAACTCAATTAGTGTCATAAAAACATTCACATCCATTGGTAAATAATCCGCTTTATACACACGCACACTTAGTTGCATTAAGTTTCGATTTCGATTTCGGTTTCGATTTCCATTAACATTTAACATTAACCTAGGTTCGGTATTCAAGTCTTGTGTGTCATCGCCTTCAGCTGCTGCTTCAATTATGCTACGTTAACGTCGAACGAGGGGATTTCCAAAATCATTTATATATATAGAGGTTCTAATTTAATTGTACACAACAAACAAATACAGCAAATACAGCGAGAGTGAAACAAGCACATACATAGTCTAGCTGCAAGTTATCGTTTCTTTGTTTAACAAATATCTCTTTGGCAAAAATACAAATTGAACAACTTGATTTCGTGTTTGTTAATTGTTTTAAACATAATTATCTACAATAAGTCTTATTTATTTCCCCCGACAAGTGTGTTAGGTTTAAACTAATTCGTATGTGTAAGTATAAATACGTATTCTGGATTAAACTAAAGACAATCAAAAATCGTCAGGACAAGCTGGGGAAGACATACAAGATTTGTGAATATGCAGATGCAGATGCAGATGCAGATGCATTTGCAGTAAAGGACACGTTTCAATACGTTTCGTGGAGTAATAAGTTCGAGTGCAATCAAATAGTTATCCCTAAGAAAACAGCGAGTTCGGTTATTCCTATGAATATGTCGGGAATTCCCTGCCAAGCTCCAAACTTTTAGAGGGTATGTGGGGAGAGGACCTAAGAGTTACGAGATGCGAAATTGTATGCTACGTTTTACATCTATGAATTGCAATGACTCTCCGTGTGTATCGATATACCTGCATTTGTCCTTTTAATCGTTAATTATTTATCGCTAATCGGTATTCCTTGCGTTTCGCCTTCTGCCCAGTGGTATTGTACAATTTGAAAGAGTTTGGCTTGCTGATTGAGTAGTGGTTCGAAATTGTGTTGGCTTAGCTACTTAGGGCTACGGATCCAGTTAAATGCTAATTATTAATGCAATTTGGCAGCACTACTCGTCGAGTTGAGTTGAGTACAAGCTATACATTCACATATCTGGTATAGAGTGGGTCCCTGCTGTCCCGTGTCCTTTGGCCACTTTTCCCCCACAAAAACCCAACAGGTTTCGACTGGTGTCCAATCACAGCGCTCCTTATTTTCCCGCTCATTTAACTTTTATCTGGTCATCTGCCATGGCCATTATTCAATAGCGAAATTCCCACAGCGCAAAAGTACACCCATATGTGTGCCGACACACAAAGTTGCTGTTGCTGTTGCTTCATCTTCGTTCTTAATATCCTTCTCAGTTTTCCGCGAATTTTTCTTCATTTTCCCCGTCATCCTTTCTCTTTCTCTTTGTCTGTGTCTACGCGTGCGTTAATTTCAAAGATAATTTCACTTTTAATTACACACTCGATGTTTGTGCAGCCCCACCTCCGCAAATCCGCCGCCATCTATGCCCGAAATCAGGGCATTTATTCATTTGCGATAATCCACTAAGGACTAGCACTAGCTACACTAGTGCACTCCCCCGATCCAGACCCGGATCCAGCAATTACAGCCAAATGAATATTAAAATCCACACAGTGCTGCTGGCAATTATGCACGACGCTCGAGGATCCAAAGAACTTGGCTACAAAGTCAAAGATACGGATATTGGGAGTATGGGTATGTGCTGGCGGAGGCAGAGAGGGACCGGAATGAGATAGGTTGAGTGGTCCTTGGGATTCCCGGATTCTTCTGGTCTTGAACTGAAAAAGGAAGAGCTAATGGCAACGCAGGCCAGGATTGGCATGTCACGCTCGCTGAGCTGCGACGAGTGGCAAATGAAAACTGTTTATGTGCGGCAGCGACACTCGAATGGCACCCGGATAGATAAAGATACAGCCAGCTTCTGCATATAATGGCTGCGGGGGCGTGGCCGCCCCTTCACCCCTTCATATCTGCGATATGCGCACTTCCATGCACGAGATTGAGTTGGGCAACTCGACGAGGAGCTGGCGAACTTAAATTCCAGGGCGTAGTCTGGAAGTAGCCTTGATTTTCAGTAATTTACATTCCCTAAGAATAGTAGGAAAGTTTCCATAAAAACACTGATTCTATAGCTTTTCTTTTAAAGCCTTTAACTTAGATTAGCTAATTCCCAGTGACGTTCTTTTCATTCTGTTACGCTTCAGAGATGCCACCCTAACTTGAACAATTTTTATATTAAGTTGTGTAAAAAACAAAAACTATAGTTTGAAGAAGAAAAAATTACGAATTTCTTTAGAATTTTTTATCTGATCGTTCAGACAAGTTTAGACAATTTGAAAAGAAATCTTAAAACATTTTTTCTACTTAAAAATACACTCATACGGTTTTTCTTTTGAAGAGAAAATAAAAGTTTTCAATGTCTGCACATAAATATAGAATTTTTTGGAAGGAAAAATGTCTGTTTGCTCAGTTGAATAATTAAACGGGTCTTGAGGTTTACTTTTTAAGCAGATGGACTTAAGTCTTTTGAAAAATATCTTTAAAAACCCATTTGCCTTCTAAAATTACCCGTTTCTACATTAAATGTTCAAGTTTGAGCTTGGTAGGCTCCACTGTGTGGGTTTTTGCCAGAATGATGGCCCATTCCCAGATTTTTCAGCTGCCCCATTAAAGGGGAGGTGGCAAATCTAGCACTCGCATCTGGGATTGGGGGTCGCCGAGCGGCTAGCGGCTGTCAACCTTCAACTTTCGGCTATGGCGACCATGGCCGATGGCGCCGTCCAGGGCAATCACGTGCCCAGTCGACTTGAGCCGAAGCACTCCCCCGGGAGCTGTCAAACGGTTCTGGACCGTTTCGCGTTTTCCACCCAAGGAAATTTCAAATTATTTTCGCCTGCTTCCTGCTTCTCCTGCTGCTGCTGCTGCCGGCTAATTAGTAAAACTCTCTGCGAAATTATGCTCACTCCCCTAGAGTGACTTGAGCCCAAGCCCCAACCCCCATCCCCCTCAGAATCCTTATCTAAATAAACACCCACATTGACGTGGGTGAAGCCTTGAGAATTGGGTGGAAATTTACATAAACTAATTCGCTGGCTGATTTGAATAAGGTAATGGCGAGTGGATGCGGATGTGGCTGCCGGACAGGGGACACTAGCGACAGGGGACCCAGATGCCGAAATGGAAAGCTCCTAAACTATCTGGGATACAGTGTGAGTACGGATACGGGTACGGGTATGCTGGATAGGATGTGTGTGCTGACGTGGTGATGGCTGCTCAGAACCGGGGCTCACTGCCGGAGATGATCCGCACGGTGGTGGTGGTGCTGCTGCTGCAGCTGCTGCCGCTGCTGCTGCTGATGGCCCCAGTTCCCGCCTACAGCTATACAAGGTGTCCGTCCGCATCGGTGTAGGCCACCGGGATGCCGCCGGTCTGGCCCACTCCGCCGAAGCTGCTCATGCCCACCGCCGTGGGGTCGAAGGCTCCGCTGGTGGTCATCAGCAGGTTGTTACCCAGTCCCACGCCCGCCGGCGGCAGGTTCAGGATCTGCAGGCTGCCCATGGGCGCCGAGACGGGAACTCCCCACGTTCATGCCCACACCCACCAAACTAGAGTTGAGCAACTGCTGCTGCTGATGCTGCTGCTGCTTGTTCCGATTCGGATCCTTCAGGATGCCATGTGGCTGGCGGGGCAGCGTGGCCGTGGCCGTGGGAAGACTGCCGTTCAGGGTGGTGCTGGTGGTGAGCGTGGAGGCGCTCAGGTTGACCGGGTGCAGGTCGTGCATCATCTGCATCGGACTACCGCCCACGGCTGAGGTGTGGTGGGTGACATCCGGCTGCGGCACGCCCACCACTCCGCGCAGAATGCCTCGCCGCAGGGTGCCCGATCCGCCGGCCACCGCTGCCACCGATCCGTTGCCGATGAGCGTGGCCCCACCGTTGGTGGCCAGCGAGGTCACCGTGATGGGCTGCAGGTGCGCCAGCGGCATCGGCTGGGCGGTAAAGTCCATAGCGCCCGGGTACTCCTGGAATCGAACAAAAAAAAACATCAGAAAACAGGCATTAAAATTGGCTAGAGAATGTTAACAAAATTCCTCAAATTATTATTATTATTCGCCAACCATTTCATGTTGTTTACTGGCTTCTTATACAAAAATCTAATACTATGTATTTCTATTTATATAATATTTGGAAAGGAAATTGCGATTGTATTCAAATCATCTAAAATTATATCTCGAGTTAGAAGCCCATATGCTTCCAAACATGAGTGTTATTAAAATAAGAAACATATTTGATCCACTATCTTAAGCTGATCACAAAATAAATTTAATATTTATCATAATCAATTATAATAACTGGTGAAATTAAAATTAAATAAAAATTAATATGAAACAGGCTTAGGCCTTTGAAAGAAAAACCAAAGGGAATTTTGTTTAGTTTTTCAAAATCTTCTTTATTTTGCGCTTGTTTGGAAAACAGAAACCAATAAGTGTTTGTTATTTTCGCTTAATAATGAAACAAAAAAGAAGTGTGTCTTCACCAAAGGCCTTTAAATAGAATCAACTTTCAGAGTGAAATTTCGGTTTTCCAGTGTGGATTAAGATGGCGTAGGCTTAGCTAAGCGGCTTCATCGCAGCTCCTCGGCGGAATAGGAGCGCTCTCCTCCGACGGCTCAGCGGGAAAAGTTTTCCCATTAAACTGTCGCCTGAGATATGAAACAATGAGAAGCGCAAACAAAAGTCCGCTCTAAGCCGAGGCTCAAATACCCTGGACTCTGAATCCGTTGGCTACTTTTTTGTCCTGAAAAGACGGCATTAAAGCGAAGATTGGCACTAACGATGCCGTAATTATGACAGCGCCTTCTGCCAGCGCTCGTATATAGTACAATACAACTTCTTGACAACTTCTCAACTGGGCAAGGGAATAAAAAAAAAGCGAACTGTCTGCGAGTGGATTCGTAGTTCAATTGACATGACACTTTGTGCCAGTTGAGGAAGCTGTTCCGCATGCCAGAAGACCAGAAGTACAGAAGGACAGAATTTCGAGTCCGAGTCCAAGTTTGCAGCACGTACAACTTTCGAGTTTCAAACTTGGCCCGTGCACCTACCTAATTGGAATATTAAGGGGAATCGAGTGGCCACTATTGCAGGATTGAAAACTCTCGGGGATTAACATGGGACGGCCAGGACATCTAGCAACACATTAGGGACACAACACTCGACACTGATTAACAAGGCTGCGGCGGGACAGGGAAGTGTTCTTAAGTAGACCTGGGCGGACATTTTGTATCAGTTTACAAAGTTAAATTGTCTTCAACGAAAACTTGGGGCTTGCAGAGCTCTAGCGCTCCAGCGCTCCAGAGCTAAGCCACGACGATTTGGGGGCTCAGAGCTCAGGATGTGCCAGGGTGTCCTGGTCGCGTAAAGGGTTTGCTGCCGCCTGCAAACTTTTGGCCACTTAAAGGCTTTTGTGTGCCGCGCCTCGCTAATTCTCGGCCGCAGCTCATTATTGTTGTTACTGGGTCGGAGTTGGAACTTCATTCCGGGTAAATAGAATAACCAATTGGCATCTCCACACTGGCCATAAAGTAGGAAACTTTCCACATTAAGGCCAGCCAAGCGGCGCCGGCGGGCCAAGTCTATGAATCCAATTCAGTCGCTCGCGGAGTGAAAATTAAATTATGGCCCACTAGGAGCGGATCCCCTTATTTATTTAATCGGCAATCCGCTTCAGCTGCGTACTCGCGACCGCACCATGAATTTTAAAACAAAACACTCTCGTGTATCGCTCGCTTTGATGACAGCCACAGCGCTCCAGTGCGTAAAGTATCTGACGGATACTTCTCCCCCCTTCGCTTTCCCAGCTTTCAGCTCCTTTTTTGCAGCTGGCAGTCGGACAATGACTAGATACAGAGTTCGCCCGCACGAAAACTAATTGAATTTAAAACTGTGCAGAACGCAAGTTAACAAAGTGAACCGTAGTTAAGTTGTCCGACTGAAGTCAAGTCCCTGCCCTCAGGCTGCTCCGCTCTGGTTGCTCTGGCTCCTCCGCTGCTCTGGAGCCACATATGCACGTAGTCCACATACACATAGGGATTCCAACGGCGTCCGGCAGTCAGCATTTAACTTATCAACGCCAGCCAAATGAAACTCGAGCATTTTCGGGCTGATATGGGTGGCACTGGGTGGCACTGGGTGGCACTGGGTGTTCTGGGTGCCTTGGAAGCCATCCAAAGTTGGCAATAAAATACAAATTGCCGCTTAAATAGTTACAAGCTGGTTGGACAAAAAACACCGCAACGGATGGATGAGTGGGTGGGCTGGCATTCTCTCGTTCTGGCTTTGCCTGGGTGTGGCCACAACTTGTTTTAAATTGCATTTACTTTGGGCCACTTTGCGTGCCAATGAACGGATGTGGATACGGCTAAAGCAGCGGCAGCTAAAGTCCTTGAGGCGCTGACCCTGGGACATCCTGTTGCTCCGGAAGCGTAAATCAATCAGCTAACAGTGGTGGTTTCCCTTTTTAATGGAGAAAACACAGTCTCCATCGATTCAATAAATGTATTTTCAGAAATAAATTCAATTTGTATAGGTGTTCAAATCACTATAATGATTTCAGAATTAAATTCATAAACATTATATCTCATGTGAATTTGCCTAATAAATCAATCAAGACAATTGGTTTTTTATCCTCCAATAATAACAACTGCAGAAATAAATAATTAAACAAGGTACTGCCCAAATCATGTGACAAACTTAAATGTGAATTGTTAATTTATCTTTAAATGTGTATAAATAATTAAATATGTATAAAAAGAGTGAAAAAGAAATAAACGTGTTTGGGCACATAAAAAAAAAACATCTAAGCGTCCACATTTCAATAAATGAAAAATTTAAGTAACCATGGATTTAATAATGGCATAAGTCGCCATAAATTCAAATTCACGAGTACCTATTATCTTCAATTCTTATCAATTCTTGACTTCTTGAGATTTTTAAGTTTTGAGTGTGCTTAGAAAATCAATCAATTAAGGTGGTAATTCAATTTCAAGCTTAATGAAGGCGTCGGAAAATGAACGTTCTAGAAAACATTTCTTTGATGGCAAGTGCAATGTCAACAATTAGTCGTTTTGGTGCATGAGAGCAATATTTATCATTGAGTTTCTTCCTCGACTCAAATGCAAGTAAATGTATTTCAAAGTATTAAATTTAATATAATACTTTTCGATGGACCCTTACTTAATGATAAATGTACAAGCAAACAATTACTTTTCAGGAAAAATAAATTTACAGAAAACTGTTGAGTGAAGTTTAAGACGATTAATAATTTAGTTCTTTGTTTGAGAATCAAAACGAATAGTTTGACTTGCTGTCCAACTAACTTGTAATTCATTTAAAATATTTCAATCTCAACTTAATAAAAAGAGATAAGTGAACTTAATGGAGTTGCTGAAATAAATCAAACAGAGGAAGCCACCATAAATGGCAGCTGAACAGCCAACAGCATAAATTGATTAAGAAGCTGTTCAATCACTTTTCAGCGCTTTGTGATAAACTGGTCAGGCTGAATCGAATCCGTATCTGTGTCTATGGCCAGATTCAGTTGTGATGGGCAATTACAGTAGCCCGATGGGCAGCTGAGCTCTATGCGCCCATCCCCTCCTCGGGGACTAATGTGCAAAACGATGCTCTAACTTTGTTAGATGGCCATTTTGTTTTGTTTTATTTATTTAGCTCTGTGTGCCCTCGGTTTTTTTTTTGTTTAGTTTTTCGTTTGTTGTTGTCAAGTTTTCCAATTGAAATTTAATTTGATTTACTGTTATAAATTGTCCTTATTCATTTACTGTCCATTCGGATACGTGGCGCTGACTGAAGCTGAAACGGAGACAGATGCTCTTCGAAAAGTAATTTAGAGCTGGCCAAATGTTTTCGGGAAGCCGCACAGCGATGGGACTGGAGCGACGCTCAGCTCAGCTCAGTTCAGCTCAGCTCTGTATATTTTGTAATTTTTCTAATGATGTTTATCAAATAATTCAATTTGGCATCCACACAAAACATTTCTTATGTGTGGAATGGCAAAAGGCCCCGGACTTTTCCCGCACAAAGCGGAAGGAGTGGCTGCTCCATGGGCCACAAGTGATGTGTGGGGTGTGGAGAGCCACATATATCCACATACACATACACAAACACATACACATATGAGATGTCATTGTTGACCAACTAAACCGAAATTGAATTTTTCTCCCTCGTTGACTAAAAACCGCAAACAAAAGGTTTAGTCCCATGTCGAACGATGGCAAAGAACGATGACGGAGCACTGGCCACTGGGATACTGCGATACTGAACTGCTGGGATGCTGGGATTCAGTGGGCAGTGGACACTTGATACCGCCAACCACATCCACATCATTTAACTGTGTACTCTCTGGGAGCGGGACACAATTGAATAATTTAACAAATCGTATAAAGGCCATAAACATGGTCAACTGCTAAGCATAAATATTATTATATTAGCTGTGCAGCCAGATGCTGGGATATTGCTATCCAGCTGCTGCTGCTGCTGCTGTTGCAGTTTCGATTCCCCGCCACCTAATTTATACAATTATTGAGCGTCAGCCAAGTTGAGACGACACATAAACGGGCTGACTGTCATCCCACATCGGATGTCGTCTTATGCTGTCGCATTGGCACCCCTTTAGTGCCAGGAGTCATCAGGTCCGAGAAAGCGGACATTCGTGCCCTAAAAGAAGCGTCGGAAACATAAATTCCGAAAATTGATTTCCCCATGTTTATTGTGAAATTTGCGGAATTTATATTGGCAGGCAATGCGACAAGCTTCGAATGTGTGGCATCCGCCTTGAAATGGTGGGGAATGGAGCGGACATCACATGTCCTTGACTGGCTGCGATGCTTTTCGGAGGTGGAGCCCCAAATCGGGGACACATTTTGGCCCCGGCATTCCCGCTGCCGCTTTATGAGTGAAGCGCGGCCAAAAACTTTGTCGCATCTGTGGGCGTTCCTTCTTCGTCGTAAAAGCCACAATGCCACATAGCCATCTGGCGTACGCGACGTATGCGTGATATTAAATTGTTGTCTGGGGAAAATAGTGTTTACTCTGCGAGCAGTGCAACAACGTGCAGCAGTGCAGTGTACTTCGGGGGGGCTTACTTATAATGCTTTTAAGTTTGTCATTTGTCTCTACAGTGTAGCGGATTATAAAAGTCGAAGCGCGTTAAGTGCCAGCGGGGAGGGGATGCTCCGGCATCAGCAAACTCCCTATGCTCCCTCCTCGCCCAGATCGATACATGGATTTATGGACCCGCCCCGTTCGCATGGCGGGATGCAAAGTGCCAAGTGTCCTTTGCAAACTTTGGTTAATTGAGCGCAGTAATCCAGGCGACAATGGCTGGGGCGTCGGATCAAAGAAGGTAACTGCAGATGCGGGCAATTAAGCCTGGCTCTCAGCCAAATCCCCGCCTGGAATCCCCCCGAGAAGGCTGGTTCATTGATCTCACTCACCATTGGCGGATAGGACAAGTATCGGTCGCTGTTCATGTTGTAGTAGGAGCCATCTGGCGGGGGCGCCGGCGACGGGGACGGAATATAGACGCCCTTGCTTATAAGCATCTGATCATCCCGGGTCATGTGGATGGCGGCGCTGCCATTATTGTGCCTCGGGTGCGGCAGTGTACAGGCGTTCACTGCAAAAAATATCGAGATGGAAAAACGGTATACAGTTAATATGTGCTTAAGTCAAAGTGAGCTCGGTTTTATATGCATTGATGCTATTTTTTTGTGGCCATTAAGCCCACTTTAGCCTGCTCTGGGTTGATTTTAATGGCTTACCAATACCCCCCGATTCCTTTCCACTTTTTTTTTTGTCGGGTACGTGCTGCGCTCAACTGATTATTTTCCTATATTTTTTCCCATATATATATGGCCGTTGCTATGGCTTAAGCTTCGATTGCTGCCATAAGCGGAGCACGCCGTTTGCCTGGCCAGCCGCAAATGGAGAAATGCAAAACGCATTCAATTTTCATTTTTAAACTGCAAACGATAGGTTGTATATTCGAAAAATAAGCACATATATGCATCCTATTACTCGGTTCCCGTTTACGTATTCTGTTTACCAGCTAATTTTGAGCCAATTTAAAACATGCTTGTAACTTTTATACTTGCGAAAATATGTGGGCATTATTAAGAGGCTAGTATTATGAAACGTTATAAACTTGGAATGATATTTGTTCTAGACAAAAAAAATTTTCCCACAGGAATTTAATAGATTTAATAGATTTTATAGTCCTAAGAAGATCAATTAAAGTATTACTTGGCGCCCCCGGGTGGACTGACATTTGAATAGTTACCTAAATTATTTAACTGAGATAACATATTTACTGTCTATTTAAAATAAACATTATTCTCGTGAATTTTGTTAAGGTTTTCGCCCAACAAAATTTGTTGAAAATGAGAACACACCTGTGCCCATATGGGCAGCGCACGTAGCGTGCAACAATTTGCTGTTTGGTTCTGGCCGATTTCATGTGCAAACGTTTGGAAAGCAAAAGAAAACGATGGCCATTAATTGCAATGCTTGCGACATTGCTGATAAGCTCGTCCAATAAATATGCAAATGTCAATGGAGTCTTCAGTTGGCCATAAGGAAACCTGCTTGGGGCGTTACAAATTGGCCCCACATACTGACACGTTCCGTGAAAAAGCAAGCGTGTGTCAGCTGCAGAGGCGTGAATGCCGCAAACGTAACAAATTTGTAATTTTGTCAAATAGACTGTGACATCGCTGAATTTCTGAGGGTTGGGACCCTCAGCCCTCGCAACAATAATTTTCCGGACAAAGTTGCGAGTCTGCGGCTGCCTGACAACGACAAATCGAAGGAAACCATGTGGTAGACCTGAGTTTGGTCCTTGTTCATCTTGTGGCTTGTTTACTTCCGCATATGTGGGCGTGTTTCCTCAAAAGACAGTCACTCATGAATTATTGATTTTTCGATCAGCGTCACATTGTTGTGCCGGAAAGAAAACTCGAACAAAGAAGTGTATTTTTGTTCCAATTTGGGACTGTGGTAGTTGCATAATTGTTGCCCGGGTCAGGAGCACTAGCTGGAGCTGGAGCTGCCAGTTCCCAGTTGCCAGCTCATCTGATATTAATAACATTGGGCCGGAGTTGAGGCAAGAAATGTTTCACGTATATGCTGAAAAATGGGGGTCCAGCTATGAGCTATAGTCAGGGAATATCCGTTAACCAAGGGAGTTTCTAGAGGTTTTAAGAAGGTTTTGGCTTAAAGGCTTTTGCACTTATTCAAGGTCAAAAACTGGGTCAGAGCTACGGACTTGTTGCTTTTTGCCTGCTCATTAAAATGGCAACGTGTGAAAAAGCGTCTCATTAAAAGCGCGGCTTTCCCGCTTTCGTCGTATTACTGCATAAATGGTAAACGAAATTGCAACTGTTGGTGGTGGGGGGCGAGGGGGAAATGGAAAACCCCTTCGGCTGTTGGCCGTGTTCCTTTTTTTTTTTGTAATTTCACTGACTACCACCCATCACTCACTACCAAATTTAAATTCAACAAAAAACTCTGATAAAAAATGTGACGCCAACTAACAAAAACAATTTCCGTTTGCCCCGCCCGTTAAGCTCATGTGCATGCCGCCCCCCAGCTTTTCCTGTTGGATGAAGGGGAAGGGGAAGGTTAAGGGGGTGGGGGTAGTGGTAGTGCACCAGCACCCGCTTTTCCGTCCGCTTGGAACAACAGCCTTGGGCTCGCTTGTTTGAGATTCAGCTTCCGGCAAGCATTTTAATTTTTTGTGCCACGTGGGGGATTCTTTTGCACTTTCCTCTCCGGCGCTTCATTCTTGCCTTCGTCCTTTCCTTTCTTTCCTTTTTGCTTTCTTTTCTGCCTTTCTTCGCTGCTTTTGTCTTTGTTGTTCTTCTCCCACGGCGTGTTTTCTTTTCAGCTCGTTCTGCTGTGCTCTTGTTGTTGTTTCGGGCATAAAGAAAATGGCGGTACTCACGAACACCCGAGTAGTACATACATACGTAATTATGCGTGTCGCCGCAGAAACCTCGTAGTGGAAATGTGGGTGGCGGTGGGGGCTTTTGGGGGGAAAGGTGGGGGCAAGACCTTGTCATCGGCTTATCCTAGAGATGAGCCCGTGTTGTTTGTCACAAAGTGGTTTTGGGAAAAAAAAATGGGTTTGCCTGCTTAAATTATAATTAATGTCACATATATTGTAATACGACTAAAAATATTAGCACATTTTTATTTGCCAGCCATATGAATATCATAATTTATCTATTTTTCAGTACTAGCATCCTTTTTTCTGCAATAATATAGATCTTAATATTATAGATTTTCAAAATTTTGCATCACAATCAAAATGTTTCCATAATTTGCATTATAAAATGATCAAAAAATGATTGAAAGTAAAAAATTTCCTGAGCAAGGCGTACTTCGGTCATCAATAAAGCGAAATTCTTAAGCGATAGTAACTTTTGAAGTAGGAGAATCTATCGAATTATATCGTCAATAGTACCTGAAAATCAAACATTCTCACGAAGGCACCTCTAGTTTATCTATGAAGACTGGAAAAATGCCCCAGCATATTTATTTGACGCTCAGAGGGAGAGGAAAATAAGAAGAGGGATAGCGCTTTCCAAATTTTTTGCCGTTGACACAAGGTAATTGTATTTTTTATGCCAGAGTCTCCGGCACTTTTGCTTCCGGGGATAAGTTCTGCAGCTAATGTATTTTTATTATTTCTACGCTTTTGCATTTAAAATGCATTTTCTGCTTTTGTTCCAACCGGACGGACGGATTGTTATTATAGAACTCCTGTTGTTCTTACAGCTTTGATGCTTTGATAGACTGCCACGGTGTCTTTTGCTGGGCCTCAGTCTCAATCTGAGTCTCAATTGAGTCCGAGCCGAAGTCCTTGTCCTCGGCTGTTATTCTTCCATTTCCAATCCCAGTTTTTCTTGCTTAAATTCGACTGTTCGAGGCTTGAGTTTTTTTCTTAAATTAGCGCAGACCGCACGTGATTTGGATTCTGCCTTGAGGTACATACATGTGAAATCTATGGGAGGATATCCGCACACATCCTTACGTACGTCAATTGAAAATCAAGACTGACAAAAACTTTGCTCCTCAATTACAATTAAGATGGAGATGTTGTGCTGGAATTGAATTTTCAGCTCACACACTTCCCTCCTTACGCCCCAAATGCTTCGATTTCGCTCTCTGTATATTTATTTCCTTCTCCTGACCATCCCATTCGTCCTTTTGCTATTTTCGCTTCCCTTTTTTCAACATTTGCTTTGATTGCGCTGCAATCATGGCATAAAAATCAAACCAAAACGAGTGCAACCGTTGGCAGTTGGGGCACTAGAGGGTTAAGAGGGGGGTCGGTCGGTTTGCTGACGTTCTGACAGCGCGTGCAAAGTCCCAACTTTGTTTTGCCCGAAAGTTAATTATCTAAAACGTATTTTTGGCTCCATTGTCTGGTACTCGGAAAAATAAATCGTTTTTAAAACATTCTGATTTTTTCTCAGAAACACGGGAAAATGTATACAAAATGTAAAAATTAAATATAGATAATATTTAAAGTACTTTAGCAACAACAAACAAATAATACGTTATTATTTCAGTTAATTTTATTGAATTCTTTTTTTGTCCGCAATATTAAATATTAATTTTTTCCAAAGGGTTTTTAAAATATATTTAATTTTAATATAGCTTTCCCAACCTAAAACAATTTGCTTAAGTATTCAATAAAATTCTACGAAAACTAAAAAACTAAGTAGTAAATGATTTATTGGCTCTTCAAAGGGTTTTTTTTTCTAAAGTTTTCGGGTTATTTAAAAGGTGTAGATCGTTTTTGCGCTATGTACTTACCAATATTATTTGGGTATATGACTGGCAGGGTGCCATCCTTTTGGTATCTGGGCGGCGGCATATCCGAGCCCTCCACCAAATACGTGGAAGCCGCCTTTTTGCGCGCCTCATCCTGCGAATAAAGAAGGATAAAATAGCTGAGTGAGGAACGGCAGATGCGACATGGTCGGGTATATATCAATTTATAGTCTCATTCCCATCTGAGTAATGCCCCGTAATTACTGCACACTTTGCTTTTTGGCATACTTTGGCAAAGGCGTTGAAAGTCGTTGGCGCGTAATTGACAGCCACAATGACAGCGGCGACACACGGACAACCAGGACAACCAGGACATCCAGGACAGCAAGGACAAAAAGCAAGGACAACAGGGATCGGATCGGGGACTGATTTATAACACGCGCGGTCGCAGTTTACGCACTTTACATACTTTTACTTCAGCTTCTGCGGGTTAGGCAGTTGCTGCGGTTTGCCTGCCGCTGCAAGATTACCGCCATAATAAATGATTTTAATAATTTGAAACGATTTGTTTGAAGCAACTCCCCAGTCTCAGTCTCTGTCTCAGATCCAGATTTGGTAGCAGAGCCAGTTCCTGTTTTATTCTCCGCTTTAGCCCACTCGCAGGCTCATCATTATTATCATCAGCGTCGCGTAATTAATCACGACGTCTTAGCGACGACGTCGGCATTCCGCTTCCGTTTCCGCTCCGCTGGTCTGGACCCGTTCTTGGGCTTCATCTCGGTCTGGCCCTGGTCTGGCACTTCCTGCCATTCACTCGACAGGCCCTCATTTCGAGCATTGGCCATAATTGAAAACCCAGGGCCGCAGGCCAGGGGGATTTCTGTTGTGACTACCCTCAACATTTGGAGTTAGTCAGACTGCCTGCATTCGACTCGAAGCCCTATCATGCCTTTAATTTGTTTTGTGGCTTACTAAATGCTTTGTTGTGGCTATATTGAGGCCATCTTTAGAATATTTGTTTCATCTCTGGAATTAACCTGAAGCTATTTTGGTGGCTTCTAACTAATTTTCTGGCATTACATCTAATGGGTTTTAATTGTAAACTTGTGTAACAGGTTTTCATTACAAAGACAACAAAATCTTGTATCTTGAAATTGTTCAAATGTTTCTTTGATTTTTTAATAATTTCGTTGTCTGGGTTAAAAAATTAGTTAAAAATTTGAACATTACTAATTTTAGAAAAAACGAATCAAAAATTTTACAAAACTATAGATTGACATTCCTAATCTCTTTTTTTTTAATTGATGCAACAAAACATGTTTAATTCAGCATATTTTCCTTCGATAATTGATTTCTATAGCACGCAAATTAAAGTAAAACCAAGTTAACAATCTTTATAAAATTGCAAACTTTTGATACTCCCTAATAGTGAATTTGAAATCGTGCTGGTGGATACAGCAGGAAGATTAGGGAGAAAGCAATATTTAAATTGAACGACTTCGGGGAAATCACTCCAGGCTCTGGCGGTGAAAATGCCACGTGACGCCTCTGCGCCTGCAGGACATCTATTTAGCAATGGAAAATGCCTAAAATGCCAGACGATTTTCCACTGCCGGCGCTTTTCCTTCCCCACGGTTCTGTTCGTTTTTGTGCCCATTCACAAATTGCATATTCATGCTCATCCATAAAAAAAGCACAGAAACGGGGAAAAAATTGGAAAAAATGGTAGCAGAAACAGAACCAGAACCAGAACCAGAACCAGAACCAGAACCAGAAAATAGTCGGTTCGTAGGTAGATAGATCCGTATATACTCACAATATATTCCGGCTGGCTGCTGCCCTCATTGGAGTACGACTCGCTCTTCTCCGAAACGCTGGACAACGTCTCGCCGGTGACGGTGTCATTATACGAACTGGGCGCGTACATCTCGATTGTGGCCGTTTTTGCAGGTTGATTTGTAGTTTCCGCCACTGTATTCCAATGCCGGCGCATAAAAAATTCCGACGCCACCAGCAGCGGCAAGGTATGTGCACAAATATTGAAAAGGTGTAATTGGCAGTGACATCCCGAAAATTGATGATTCGCAGCGGTGCCAGATGATGGTGTGGTGTGGGGTAGTGGTGTGGGGTAGTGGTGTGGGGTAGTGGTGTTTTTTTTTTCCGATCGGGAGTTGATGCAGTGCGGCAGAAGGTGGATTCGAGGTGGCCAATTGTGTTGTAGTTGCAGGTTTTGGGCAATGCAAATCAAATGCAAATAGTCAAGATTGTCAAAGTGCCAGAAACAGGAGTGGTTTGGATATTGGTTGGGTGGGTGGGTGGTGGTTGTTCAATGGGTGTTTTTCAAGAGGGGGTGGATTCGGTTGTTTACACGGGTCGTCGGCATTGTGTTAATTATTCACATTTGTCGCAGCATTCGTTGATGTGCATTTCGATGCCGTGTCGGACACAAAGTAGTGCACATCGGGAAATATAAATGAGTTGACAGCCGGCCAAAGGTAAAAATGCAATTAAATGATTTATGATACATTTTCCGCAAAGGTTAACACGTGTTTGCCGCAGAGTGTAGTCCATTTTGAAGCACAGTCCAGTTTGCGAGTTGATGGAGTATGGAAAGTATATAAAAATAATTATGGTTATAGGATATATTTTAAAGGTGTATCAAAAGCCTGGCTGTTGCTGCTGCTGCATTTGGAAAACGGCTTTAACCCTATTCAAAAACATAAATGCCAACTTATACAAAGTTAAATAGTCGAATAAAGCCACAATGTTTTTGAAAGAATTCCGGTGTTTACTGATTCGGTATAAAAAAATGAAAACAAGTATGTCAAATATGACCGAATGACCCAATTTAAATAAACTTAAGGCAACAAAATGATCAGTAAAATAATAGTTATGTTGTAAATAACATAAGCAAATGCCTTTTTTTATACAATTTTTCCATTTACCGATAACCTTTTTGTGTGCAATCAAGGCTGTTGTTATTCTTAAGCGTTTTTTCCAGGCTGACACAGAATTTACAATGATTTCGGCCTGAGCGGAGTCAGCAGAAAAGCAAAAAGCCATAGACACGTGTGTCTCCATGTGGCCCCCATTTATCCCAGGTTCCTCCTGATGGCGATAGGTAAATGGGTAATGGCAAATGGACATTGCCCTGCCACTCAGCTGCTATCGCCACCATTGCCATCATCAGCCTCCTCAAGCTATGCAAAGATATAATGGCCCACTGGTTTCTTAATAATATATTTCCAAGGATATATAAGTGGATATATAGGGTAGCTGTGCGGCACGTCCTCCAGTTACGTGACATGCGGGGACTATTAGTCGATAGAATTGGCGTTTTCTGTTAATTTGCACAAAGAACATTGAATGTTTGGGAGTTATCAAAATTACTTTATACACGCTTACGTTTTGTATGCCGGTGCCCATGTTGGCCGATGTATAATGAATATTTAACCAATTGCAGCCGAATGTTCGAAACCAAATTGCTTTGTTCTGTCTCCATTTCGTGTGTATTTCTGTATTTCTGTTATTTGTTTGTGCTGCCGTTGCTTCAATTTGCATTTTTTATGATTGACCAACATTTGCCAGTGTTGTATTTTAATTCATTAAACATACGCACACACGAATCGGAATCTATACACTTTTGTGTGGGCTCTCATAGGTAAAAAATTAAAAATTGAAAATGCATTTAAATGTTGCGCCGCAGTTCTGAACGGCTCAGATATCTGTGTACCAGGTCTGCCGATGACAGCGCCCTGTATATGTATATGTTCACATGTGTATCCGGCAAAAGCTCACTGATTTTATGGCTTAGCGAGTTAAAAACATTTTCGGCATTTGTCAGTTGTTTTATTTATGACGACAAACGACGACAAACGAGTGGTAGGCAGAAAGGCGCCTGGGTGATGGGTGGTGGGGGCCATTTAAAATAATAGACCTGGCTTTAATCAATTAAGGCAATTAAAAACATGACCGCTTACCCACACGAGTGCATTTAAGCGAATAGAGAGCCAGAGTCCTCTTAAATGTATTTATCAAACAAATGCTTAGAGCGAGCACAGAAAAGAGAGTGATCGAATCGGGTTTGCCCTGGTATTCTGTTCTTAAACTAAATAGTAATTAAAATGTTAAGACAATACAATTTATTTAAATATTTCGCTAATGTTTAGCTCTGCTAACACTTTACTTTAATGTGGAAAAACGGACGAATGTTAACTTCACTTTTGAATTCTCTTTCTTAAATTGGTCTGGTCTAAATAGTTGTATTTTTAAATGTTACGTAAATGATAAACATTTTAATCAAAATTAATTTTTAAAATTGTTTTAAGGCAATCGATAAAAAATTATCTTTTTACATTTCTGTGAAATTATAGGCTAGATTGCTAGGATAGATTTTTACTGAGACATACTTTTTTTTAAAGAACAAGGACCTAAACTTGACCTAAGTGATAGGCTTACCATATACAATATTTAAGAAAAATTAGAGAAAAACTGCATATTTTCCGTAAGGAAAAGCAATATTTTTTCCCTCAGTGCAAGCCTGCTTCTTGGAAATGCCTAGATTAGTTTGTGTTTATCATGAATATTTCATGATATATAAAAGCCTGAGTTAGTTGCTTATGCTCTATTTTTTTTTGGTTTCCACTTACGAAAAAAAAAACCATAAATCCTAAGCGCGATTTGCCGGGAAATCTTCAGGCCGCAGACAGACGGAAGGCAGGATGTGTGACCAAACGGTAGGGTATTAACGGCCGGTGGGCGGGCTTATCACTCTTAGTCGTCCTCGTGACCGTGGTGGACACATTGCGGTGTTCCCCGTCTACACAAATGTCAAATAATCCGTGCTCGCATTCGGTACTAGCTGTTTTTCCTGTTGCCGTTGCACTTTACGGCTCCGCCACGCCGCCCGGAGATTACAAATTTTGCACTTATGCTCGGCAAGCCCCGTCCATATCCCTTTCTATATACGTTTGTGGTTATACGTATATACGTATATGTGGGACGCGGCTTAGACAGACTCTGCGGTCATCTGGGCACGTTAATGACGGCGACGTCTGTTTTGAAGGTCTTTTCTGGTAAGCCGCCTGTCCTGGCAACAGCTCTCAATTATTCGCTGGCCGGACTTGCGGTGCGCCGTAGTGGATCTGTCCGCTTTTGTGCCATTTGCTCTTTGGTCATTTGAATGGACGGACCGACTGCTGAGCTATTTCAAGGCATTGTTTCAGGGTGCGGCATTGGCGAATTTATGAACTCCCATTCCATGCCGCAAATGGATCCGCCACTCTCCCTCGGCCTGTCATGGCCAGTTGCCTAAGCAGCAAACTTTTCGACATTGCTGAGCCAGCCCTCTGGCTGCCCCCGAAACTGCCCCCGATTTCCACCGATTTCCCCGATTTCCCCGATTCTCCTGACCACCACAGACTGTGCGCTTATCTCTTCGCATTCGATGTCGCAGCTCTTGCACGCACGCCAAAAAGCCCTGTGCCCAGTACCCAGTGCCCTGGCCACCGTCTCCCTGGGACCCCGTCAATTGTTTAAAGAGTGTCAAAGTCAAGTGCTCGCCAGTGGAGCAGCCATCGGGATGGGATGTAGGATGAGTGGAGTGGTAGTGGTACGTCCTACAAAGTGCTTGGGGATGGTGGGATGGTTGGGGTGGTCTTATCGCTGGTGGCAACGTTGGCATAAAAGTTTCGCCCCGCCAAGTCGTAAAAGTGTCGCACTCAACTATATCCCCGAGATCGGGTTGCGGGCCATTTCACTTTTGCGCCGGCACTCGTTCTAAAGTTTTTCCTCCTGGCCAAAAGATAATACACCCTCGGTGTTGATGGGTGCTCTCTATTTTTGGGGCTCTTTTTGGGCTCTAGCTTAAGTTGGCACATTTTTTGTTTGTGCTAAAAAATCTATTGCCATATGGGCCTATGCCCATGCCCTAACTTCGTTAACCACTCGCGAATGCTGTGCAGCAATTGTTTGATGCAACTGCTCTTTGGCCTCTTAAGTGGGTTGTAGAGTGCAAGGGCACGTAAAAAACTTTTTTTTTCTTCAAGGCAATTGAAAAAATCAGATCTAGGCAAAGTAAAGCTTATATTGATGTTACACTCATTTATTATTCAAAACCAGAGCAGATAAAGCTTGTGCTAGTTGACTAGTTTATTTAAGAGAATTCTGAATCACTTTTTGATGAACACAGATTTAAGGAAATTACGCTTTTTTGGTCTTATAGTAAAAAAGTACATTATCGTTAGGTTCCACCCTTATACCTTCCATAGCTACATCCAGAAAAGCAAAATTTCTTGAATTGGGTCATTTCTTCCTTAATAATCTATATGGTGGGCCTATAGTTAAGGTCAAGTTAAGGTGATATATCAAGTTAAGGTGAGGTATTTCTATACACCCAAAATATAATAAAAGTATAGTTTTAATAAGTGTGCCTTGAAAATGAACTACAGACAGTATTAAAGTATAAGTATTAATTCAATAATATATAATAAACCCCTATACTTTTTGTTATTTAATTTCTATACCGAAGAGTCTTAAACTGTTCTCTAAGGCCTTTTTTAAACTAAAGGTATTAAACCTTGAGAAATTCATGCAGCAATTTATTTATTTATTATTTTGAAATTGGTTGGCTGAGAAACGGGTATCTAAAAGTCGTCTAAAGCGTTTCTTTTTGGTTTTTCTAAAATAAAGATGTTTTCTGGGTCTTTACATAGACTACCATTATTTGTGTCTTGTAGCTCTTAAAATGTTCTGAAAATTTTCTTAAACCAGAACTTTGAAAACCAAGTTAGGAGAACTCTATGGCTCATAGTGTATGGACGCTCTGCCCTTTCAGCTTGCGAGGCCAGGCGAAAGGCAATAAACAGTGGAGATGGCGCTATTCTGGATGTTCCGGCTCAGGCCCAGCTCATACGGGAATGATATATGTGGCACTGGGCATTGGACACTAGGCACTAGGCATTGACTGTGGCTGTGGCGATGCAATGCGATGCGATGGTCACTAGCGCTCTCTTGTCCATGGCGACTGTGTGGTCGATGACCGACCGGCAATGGAATGAGAATGAGCAAGACCAACGGACCGTCGGACCGTCGGACCGACGGACGACCAGCAGTCGGCGACGGAGCTGAACCACTGGACCAGCTGCCAACCGCAGACTTTTGGCATAGTTTATCGGACAGCGACAACTACAGCGAAAGGCTTCTTAGGCGGCATCCAGTGCGGTTGGGCTTTTGGTTTGCCGAAGAGTTGGGTCTGGGTTGGGATTTGGATTTGGCATGGTTGGGACTGAGATGAGATTTGGTGCTGGGCGGCGGGATGGATTTCCTTTCTGTGCGCCATGCGGCATTTTGACACAAAGGCACAAATGCACATTAAAAATGCATATCCGAAGGGCTGCAACAAAAACACAAGTCAAGTTTCGCCGGCGAAAACATTGAAATATGCAGAGAGATATCCCCCGACAGGGTCCTCCAACTCCAACTTCCTGCCACGCCTACTCCCACACCCAAAAGCCGCCCCCACCGCCGGCTGGCCAACGCACCAGTTTCTCTGACAACTTCAAAAAAAAAAATAAATAAAAAAAATATGAGAAAAAAGCGAAATGGATGGAAAAATTGTGAGCACTGAAAACGGGAAAAGTAAAAATCCTTTTGGGCATTGTCAGTTATCGGCTTTTGACAGGGATAAGGGGATGCGGATGGGGCTACCAAAACCACTCTCCGTACATTGTCATAAAAATGTTGTTCCTTCCAGGAGGGTTTTTGCTGTGTTTGTTTGCAACAAGACTGAAATATGAATTTTCTTTTGTGTGAAGCGGGACTGCATTCATATCCCGGCACTCGCCATTTGTTCAACTGTGCCGCACTGGAAACGAAACGAAAGACAGAAATAATGGAGTCTGGCCCGGCCTGGGATTCTTAGGGAAATTTCTTATTTATGTCCTGCGGCTGTAGTTCATGCTACTCGTGCTACCCGTTTGAAAATGTCAAAAAATAACTGGCCCACATTTTGTGCTTCCCCGATTAAGTCAGTTTAGTTTAGTTTCGGGGCGTGTCGTCCCCTTTTCCGTTCGCTTAATGAATCAAAACTTTTCACTGAAAGAGAAAGAGATGTAAATCAACTCATAAGTCAAATGTTTACGCAAACAGTCTGACAGCGCACATATAACAGCAGCAAATATAACTCGAAGTCGTCCTCATATGGTGCCAACACCCTGGCTAAACAAAAGGCATTTAGCATGGGTCCCTCACCAAAAACAAAAAGTAGAGTAAAATAGAAATTGTTGATATTATCAAATACCACGTACATATTAATGCAACATGCAATTATAATATTATTTTAGGATACATGATTTGAAAATTCATTTAATCCATTCCAACTAATTTTGTGAAGTCGGAACAGGCAACGTAATAAAAAAAAAATAAAATAACATAACTCTTTGTTCGTTTGTTTGGCAAAGTTAAGATTGTATCAAATTTATATACTAAATTTAAAAAAAAAACGTAAAAAAAAGTGCAGCTGAACCTTTTTTTAATAGCTGGGGCTAAAAGAAACACAGCCTGTGATTCTAAATATTCGGTTTAATATCCGCTATAAAATGATCCTCATTCTATTTTATGTACCTATATATACAAAACCCTAGTTTTGGTAACCAAAAGACTGAAGAATGAAATTTTCAATGCCTAGTTATGAAAAACGAACTCTGTGTTTGCATAAATTGTGTGACTATTATTCAGACTTTTTTGAGCGCTTCGACCGCCGTATTGAGTTCACGATGTAGCTCTATTTTTTTGTTGCCCGGCTCAACGGAAATAATTTGGTTAGCCGGCAACCACGCTGCGTGTTGCATGACGACTGGCTGCACGTAATAGCGATTCCGTGTTGCCACATTGCGTATACGCCGAGTGCGCGCCACGTCTCAAATTTGCCAGTCAGAATGCGATGGGATTGCTAAGGAAAGCCAGCCGGAGAAAATGGTAACAATTGTACTGATGGCGTCAGGATTTTCATTTTAAAGTTGGCACCACCAGAGAGTGGTGAAAAATAATTTCGATTTAATAGACAACCCTCAGCCAACATGTTCTACACTTGTCGACACGTGCTGCCCGACCTCCGACCTCCGAACCTGCGACCTGCGACCTGCGACCTGCGACCCCCGGCGTCCGTGAGCCGTGAAAGCAATCTGATTTCCGGAGGATTGTGCATTCAGCTAAGAAAACGATGCACATTTGTCTTGCCGGCTGTCCGGGTCTCTTGTTCGTTCAATAAACAGCAGCTCTCTTGGCTGCTGCCGTCTTGCCCAGGATGCATCATTATTTTCTGTCATCATTATACTCCAGCCGGCGACTTCTTGCCTCGACTGCCGCATCCTAGCCATGGCCACGCTTGGCATTGGTTGGCTTGCGGAAATTACAAGAAGTGATCCGAGTGGAGTGGAATGGAGTGGAGTGTAGTGGGTCCTGCGTATGCAGGAAATTGTTTAGTGAGCTTCATAAAGTGAGGCTGCATTCCGAGGTCCTAGGTCCTTGGTGGACAGGAGCAGCGGATGCTGCACAACGCGCTCGCTTCCGCATCCGGTGGTGTCGCGGAAGTGGTGCCGGCTGCAACATGGCAGTCGTTGCAATTGTCTGCTCGCAATACCAACCCCTTGCCGAAACAACCTCAATCAAAGACGTACCCCAAGAAAGAGCCTCAGCAAATCAGCCAAAATAATAGTCATAATAATAATAATAATAAATAATAAATAACAATAATAATAACCTTTCTTGCGGCGCTGGTGCACAAAGAACCAGGCAACCAGCGAAGCGTTGACCAGGAGAAAGCCAAATGCCGCCAGGGAGATGCCAATTATGACCAGATTCGGTGTGTTGCTGGAGTCCTCGGTTAACTCGGCTGGCATCAATTCAAGTCCTTCACAGAGCGAGCCATGGAACCATGGAAAACGTACAAAAACACAAGAAAACATGGTTGCAGAAATAAAACAATAAATAAATGCGAAATGAAATGAGAAATTGTAATAAAAAAGGAATAATATCATGAGGAATAAAAATATAAATTGGCGCAGAGCATAGCAATGAACGCGCTGTTGTCCCAGTTTTCAGTTGGGTCCGAATCCGAATCCGAATACGAAGCGCTTTCGGACTCGGACCCCGCCAGGCATTCCATTCCGGCTATAGAGACGAGGGGTCAAGGGTCGAATTCGGTTGGCATGGCGAGCACACGCAGCGAAATCAAATAAAGAGACCGACTTGCGACCGGCGAGTGACGCAAATCACGTAGAGGCTGCGAAGCGGAGCCGGAACATGTGATGGCAAATGAAATTAGCGACGCCATCGCCATTCCACAACGATTCCCATCGCGATTCCGTTCTCAATCCCACTGCCATTTCCATTTCCATTGCCATCCGCAATTGCTGACCACCGGGCACGTGCGATGACACCGCCCACAAATTAAAAGAAAATAACGGAGGCGACGGCGGGCCGAGTTGAGGGAATTAGAAATTCAAATGCCCACGGATTCCAGCCATGGAGCTCTGCAGCTCCAACTATTGCTTCCCATTGAACCCCATCTTGGTTAATGGCAACCATGCCAGCACACTGAGATTGTAGTCTAAGCAATTAAGTTCGAATGTTTTAACGATTTGAGTTAAATCAGCTAAGTTTAAGCAAAAATTAAGAACATTTTCAACTCTTTTAGTGTTTTTAAGCAACAACAATTTTTAAATTTTAATAGACAAACTAAGTATGAAATTTAACGAAATTTAATACTATATATGCCACATGTAACTTTTCAAAACTGATCAAATAGTTGTCTTAACGTTTTTGTTTCCGTTTGGTAGTTTTTATAAAAATGATTGCATTTTAAGTGCCTGACTGAATCATATTGCATGGCTTTAATATGCTAAGGACATAAATTGGCTGAAGTATTGAAAAAATATTTTGTTAGATTAGGTATATATGGGATTTCTTGGAAAATAGAGGCTGGTTCTTGTGTATTTTTCCCTGTGTGGCAGCAGCAGCAACCGCCGGATTTACTGCGGATCCCCTCACCTCGCTTCAGGCGCTTCTCGTTCCGTTTGTGCAGACAGCAGCCGATGACAAACACGTTGAGCAGGACAACGACTATGCCGGCGCCCACGCCCACCAGGAGCATGCCCGAAGTGCCGCCCAGCGGTGTCTGGCTGGTGGTCGGCGGTCCGCCTCCCAGTGACGAAGCCGGATGCGAGGGGGGCGGGGCTTCTGCTGGACGCGGACGGAAGGGCATTTGCGGTGGCGCATCGTCGGTGTCGTCGGTGTCATTGACGTTGTTGATGGCCGTAATGCAGTTCCAATTAAGAGCAGCAAGGGTCGGGACGAGATCATTGAGTGAGACAACAAATCGGAGCCTGGCGGCATTATATGCCCATGCCCCCATGGCCATGTCTGTTTATGGGCCATTTCTTACGCTTCATAATCTGTTTGAATCGCAAGTCAATGGCGGTGGTGCCGGATGCAGTTAAAGGACTCTTTAAAATTACCACTTTAATGCGTTCTAACAATTTAATGGATATTGTTTCCGGTTTAGGGCAGCTTTCTATAAACTTTCTTCTATGAATATGAATATATGAATAATGTATACTGATATCTGGCTTTTTAATCGAATATTTAATATTTTTAATTAAAATTAAGTATAATATTCTAATACCAAATAATTTACAGCTCATATTAAATTGCATTATTTAATATTCTAATATTTCAATTAATGTGAAAAATGTTGGTTTTAATTTAAATAAAATATTTCAGATATTAATGTTATTATTTCCGTTTTTTATATAGCAAACGAAATTTTTTAAAGAGATTATAAAATACTTCGATTTCCTACCTTTATTTCATTAGAGTACAAAAACTTGTCAAGCTTAAAATGACATATTAGCCATTCGAATTGCAACCACAACAAATATAATTTTAAATTGCCAACAACACGTAATTTATTTATCAACATATTTTAATTGATATGACTTTTTTTTTGTCTTGCCAATATAAAGACTCTTTGAAGTTTTTAATTAATATTTATATTTTTAGCCACTATTACCTTTGTTAATCTAGTGGAATTAATTTTAGTTTTTAATTCGTAAAGTTTTAATTAGGCCTAAGCTAATGTGTTTTGCTGAATAAATACTCCAAAGCTAATTTGATTTCTCTGATTTATTTGAATCTTTGTATGCACGACATTGGACCTTGCAGGGGGACTAACCAAGTTCAGTGTCTGGGCCAATTTCAGTTCATCAATTATTTCGGTTGACTCATTCCACGCGTGCTTCTAATTGGACCGATATTTACTTATCTTACTGGCTAGCTAATTAATTCCACAAATCTGCCGAATCGCTGCCCGACAACTGGTCCGGCACCACCAAGCGCCCTCTTAGTTACCAATGCCGATGCCATGAAAGGCCATAAAAGCCAAATGGCGGACTGGCATAAATCAATGTCGGCATCGCTGGTCGAGTGCGGCACTCGCGCCCAATTTGCAATTTGCATGCCGCTCTCAGGGGCGCACGGACTTACCTTTGGTCTCGGCCCGTGCCAAATCGGGCAGATAGGAGCTCTGGCCCAGCTCGTTCTTGGACATCACCGAAAACAGATAGAGCGTGTTCATGCGCAACCCGCCGATGGTCAGCTTGTGGCTATTGGGCAGCCCATCGATGTATTTGTACTGTTCGCGGTCGGCCATCCTGCAAATGAGAGGCCAGAGTGCAATTTCATTAGTGCCAGGACCCTTGACAGTTGCACGCAGAAAAATTGTGCAAAATCTTCAGTTTTAAGAAGAGCTTAAAGTAAGTTTTAAACTGAAAACACTATTTTTAGCTTATCGTAAGGAAGAAAAATATTTTATAAAATCTATTATCTGACATATTAGACCTAAATTTATCTTACCATTAAAGAAAAAAAAATGTTATTAATGTTTTTTTATATTTAAATTGTTATTTAAAGATTTTTTTTAATCACTGGTGGAAGCTAGATTGGGTTTTTAATAGGAACATGTCAAAGTCACTTCAAATTCTTTCCCTACCATCAAAACATAAAAATTCTCAACTTAGGCGTTTTGTTATAGAAATAAACGCAATTCATATCCTTTAGATTGAAAAACTTAGTACTTATTCGATGTTATTACTTTGTGATTTCAAAACCTAGCTAAAATTGCTTTTTTGCTCGTTGTGTATATGTAACAAGTCGCAATATCACTTACCTATAGCGCACTCGATAGGAGGCCTTGAGGCCACCATCGAAGCCCGGAGTCCAGGCCACCGTGACGGTGTCGTGGGTGATGTTTAGGATATTCAGGCTGATGGGTGGATCCGGCGGCGAGGTGATTTCCAGACGCACCGTCTCCACCGCCTCGCCAAGATCGTTTCGGGCCACGCATTCATAGGCGCCGTAGTCCGCCGGCGCCACTTTGTCCACGATGAGAGAGGATTCGTAGGTCAGGGAGTCTATCTTGCGCTCCTCCACTTCGTACTTGTACGTGCGATTGATGGGCAGGTCCTTCTTGTCCTGTCGCCAGATGAACTGCGGCTTGGGTGCACCCTGTGCCCGGCAAGGCAGTCGACCCCGCTCTCCTGTCCCGCTGGCAGCTCGCAAAAGCGTTGGAGCCTTGGCAATCTCAGGTGCAACTGGAGGAGGAGGATAAAGATGTGTTAAGAAGGCATTATTACAGGCACCAACGAAAAAATTACAGGAACTATTTGTACACATTCAGCACACCATAACATTAAAACATAAATTAAAATATTGTATTTATGCTATAAAAAGTCGGATAAAATTTTTAAATTGTGTTCTAAAGACCGGATTTTAATGTTGAAAAATAAGAGAACTTTGGCATCATATTCCAAATTTATTTATTATACTGTGGTGCATTGGCAGTTTATTATGGCAAGAACGTAAAGTTTATTTAATATGACCTATGGGATTTATGGTGTTATTAGCTACGCAACGGAACCTTATGGGTTATGAAAACAACAGTTTGCAAGGGACTTTTACTCAGAATCACCGAAACATTAAACAAAATGGGCAACTAGATCGTGAACATTTCTTTTGCCTTTTTCATTACTGTTCAGACTACTACTACTGTTCAGAGTACTTACACTTGACAATAAGCAGGATATCGCGGTTTGTAGGATTGGCCACACGATTGTCGGCCACGCACCGAAAGTTACCCACATCCTCGCGCTGGGCATCCTTGATGTGCAGGTAGGAGGTGCCATTGGCGAAGGTGGTCGAGGTCTTCACGGTCATGTCGTAGCCCAACCGCTCCCACTTCACATGCTCCTCGGTCAGCGGCTTGCCCTCCACGCTGCACGAGAGCATTGCGTCCTCGCCGGGATTGACGACAATGTTCTCCGACACCGACTTGATGGTAGTTCCATCTGCAGAGCGAGACCACAATTAGTCCGTTTGGGGAAATCGCACAGAGTGGCGTACTCACATTCCACCATCAGCGTGATGTTCAGGCTGGCCTTGCCCTGCGAGTTGGAGGCGCTGCAGGAGTAGATCCCCGAGTCATCGCGGTGCAGGCGGGTGAAATTCAGGCTGCCACCATCGGCGAAGATACGATGGCCGCCGTCCTGCGGAATGGTGACCCCATCCTTGGTCCACTTGTACTCCACTGGGGTGGGATTGGCCTTGGTTTGTAGCGATACCTGCACCGATTCACCCTCTGCACCCACCACCGTCGACGAGGGTGGCGGCACGAACTTGGGTCGATCTGGAGGTAAAAGGTGGAAGTATGGTTGGCTGATGTCACAGAAATCCCTTTGGACTGACCTTTTTTTTTTATCAATGTTATACGCCTAACAAGCTTAAGGGCTTACTAAATCTTAAGAAGAAGCTTCAATTTCAGTTTAAATATTTCTTATGAGACACTGTAGTACTCTTCTATCATTCAGAGGCACTCAATTTAAACTCCTGCCAGTAATGTAGTCATTTTTTAAATTCTACTGAAGAAATTTAATTTAATTTCGTTCTTTTTAAAACTGATCTCTATCCTTGATACTGTTGACTTTAAGGCAATAAAAAATAAATTTAAATTTCATTGAAACTGTATTAATTTTATAAATTCAACTGGTGGTAAAATATCATGATTTAATTCCACTTTTTTCAACACTCTTTCTTAGATTGATTTAAAACTAATCTCTATGCTCGATAATGGGTACTTTCCGGCAATTGCAATTCTAAAGGAACTTTATACCGAAGTTCCACTCAAACTGTTACAAAGAGAGGCGTTTGCAACTGGCGGACTTGTGTGACATCATTTATAGATTCGACTGGCGATGGCAGATCCCGTCTAATTGAGCCATTAGTTGGGTCATACTTACACAGGACATCCAGGCTGACCGCCTCGTGGACGCTCCGCTGGAGAGCTTCGTTGGCGCTCTGGCAGGTGTAGACCTGGCCGTTCATTTCCTGTGTGATGTTTACCCTGAACTCCAGCGTGGAGACCGTGCCGCCCCAGAGACCCGGCTTGGACGTGTTATTAATGCCTGTGGGTTGGGTTTTGGAGGATGCAGGGGGTAACGGGATTTCGGGGTTCCGGTGGGCGGACAGGATCCGGATTGGGCAGGGCGTGGGCAATGGGAATAAAAATGGGAATGGGAGCAGAACAGAACAGAGCGGAGCGGAGAAGAAATGGGCGTAATTTTAGTGACTGGCAAGGCAAGCGAACCGGATGTTGTCGTGGAAACGCCTCGCACCAACAAAATGCACTGACGGCGCCGGCAAGTCCATAGCGAATGGCAAATGGCGAATGGCAAATGGCGAATGGCGATGGGCAAGCTTCCAATTGCCAAATCGCTTGGCCAGGCCAAGCCATACGGTACGGTATGGTTCGCATACGTATACGAATACGTACCTTCGATGGGAATGCCGTCCTTCCACCAGGACAGCTTTGCCGGCGGATTGCTGGAGCTGGAGTCGCAGATGATGGTTGCCTCCATGCCAGGTCGCAGCTCTTCCGGTTCAATGCGTATTTTGACCGTCTCCGGGGCAACTGAAAGAGCACACACACCAGTGGATAATAAGAAAGGATTCAGGAGCCGGCGGATCTCCCAGCCCAAGGATTTAAAACGCAAGTACTACACTCGACGAACAATTTATAAAAAATCTTAAAATTTAAGGGTCCTTGATCGTTGGAACTATTATTTTTACTTTTTAGACACTTATTACATTTTTGGGTTGTTTTAAAACCTCAATAAATAAATATATTTTTGAATTTTGTATATGTTTTATACAACTATGGAAACAAACCCATAAATATTGTTAAGTTATATTAATTTAATAATTTAATTCTTTGCAAATGCTTTACATATTGCTTTTGAATTTTGGGACTATTTAATTTATTGCTTTTTTAAGATTTTCCTTTTAAGATATATGAAGAATTTATGAAAAACCTTTTTGTGACTTTTTGGTTAATAAAATGGTACTTATTGAGCTGATATGCACTTATTCCTTTAATCTATGTTGAAATAATATTTTATAATGTATTACGCTGAATTAAAAATGTTGTAACAGCTTACAATAAATTTAAAGTTCCAAATTGGGATATCATTTAAGAACTTTAAGAATATTTGCAATTCTAAAAAAGTGTATTAAAACCTTTGTCAAACTAAAAACAATTCTAAAACATAGGGTACTTATCTGAGGGTTTTTTTTTAATTTGCGTTAGGCAAGCAAAGCTTTACTGACTATGTATATTTTCTAAGTATACTCACAGTGGACACTGAGTGTGGTGGACTGGAAGAGCGGGATTTCGGTGGCGCTGTTGGAGGCCTCACATCGGTACTGGGCCTGGTTGTCGGACACGTTGGCCAGAACGGTGATTTCGGCCGACACCGATTTGTCCGCGGCCCGTATGACCGAGTTTATCTGCAGAGGGGAATGAATACTTATTTTTTTGTTGGCTTGAGAACATCTCCAAACAGCACACAGCTGCCGGATGCATTTTAATTTCGCTGATAAAACGTCGCCTAATCTAAGCGAGCGAGCCAGGTGGAAGGCAAGCAAGCAAGCAAACACGGCACCCAGATGAGTCCCCCGTGGGCCAGAGATGAAAACTCTGACACCGCAACAAATGGGAAACGGTAAAACAGGAAGCAGCACCTGAAACTGCTGGTGCACCTGCCACCCAACACCCACCACCCGCCACCCATCATTTATCCCTCATCCCTCCGCAATATAAAAGTGTGGGCTGATGAGCTGCGGTTGTGGGTGACTTGGGTTCTTTTTGCACCGTATTTACCACCTTTTGTTCAAAGTTCTAACGATAGTTTTGCACTCGATTATTGGTAGGTGGAAGGTGTGAAAACCGAAATCGTTCTGGCATCAAAAGCGAACGGCTGCAGTGGCTCATTAGCACTTTAAGCCCATAAAGCGGAAGCGGAAATGGTCAACAAAAGCGCCATTATTGTTTTGCGGATGTTTGCTGCCTGCCGTTGATAGTATGCTGCCTCTCACTCGCACTCTGTTTGCTATATGTGTGTGTGTGTGTGTGTGTGTGTCTGGGCGATGTGTGTGTGTGAGTTTTCTGCGGAAAATGCAAACAAAGGGCGGCCAAAAAAAAAATAGGGAAATTTCTGCACTCACCCGTTTGTCGTTTTTGTACCATGTTAGCGTTGCCAACGGATTGCCGCCTGATGAAACGCAAAGCAGTTTTTGCACCGAGCCAGCTGGGATAATTTGTCCCTCCATATAGCCAGAAATTAATGGCGGCGCGGGCGGATCTGTGGAGGAAAACAGTCGGGATAAGAAAAACGGTTCAGGGGAAGCAACCAAAACAAAAAAAAATTAAAAGACAAACAAAAGAGCGCCAAGCATAAGGGGAAATGGGCCAACGAATTGTGGCACCAAAAACTTAGCCACGAGCCAGCAAATTATGGCCTACAACAATAACACAAAAAGGACCAGCCAGGACTAGGACCCACCGCTGAGTCCTCGTCCTCCGTGAGCGCGGCTGCCAAGAGCGGCCGAACAATAAAAATTAAAATTATTTAATTTGCCGCGCATAAAGTAAAATATCCGCAGGGCGTCCGCATCCTCAAGGCATGACCATGCACATACCATCGCTTCGTCCTTGATTGGTCAGTGGGTGGTGGCTGGTGGCTGGGATGGCTCATTACCTTGGGGGTCTGTTAGTCATTTTCAGTGCTCATGGTATGGGTAATAAATGTAAATCTCTGGCCGCCTCCCCACGCTGCTTTCTTCTTTCTGCTTTCTGCTCTCCGCTCGCTCTGTGATGTTGGTCAGAAAAATTAATTAGCGCTGCAGGAGGGCGCTCACAAAGGACATCCTCCACAGGACCGGAGGGGGAGGGGGCGTGTCCATGAGTGCCCTGGCTGGATAAACCGAAACTAGAAATCGCAATTATTAATAAGACCCGCCGCCAAAGCAACCCCACTCAACCTGTTATCGAGTCATTTTGCCTGTCAGTCCTTTCATCTTTCCTAGAAATCCTGGTAACCTTATGCCCCAATCCCTGCTATTTTTTCCTGCGTGTTTTTGTCACTGCCTCCGCTTATAATTGAGGCAAATGAAGAGTGACACCGAACATCGGATAATGGAGTTTGAGACACTTGCAGTTGTCGCTTGGCGGAGAAGTGTCATTCTGTGGCGACAAGAGGCGGTGGTGTGGAGGTCCTGGATGCCTACATCCAATCGGACCTTTATTGAGCACGAAAAAGTGGGGGTTAAGAAAAGTTGGTATACTAATCTTTGCACACCACATATGGATGTATACGGATTTAACTGAAATTGATATTTACTATTTTATAATACTTTCTAATTGACCATATTGTGACTAGTGGGTTAAAATAACTTTATAATTTTTAGCACTACGATTAGGAAAATAAATAAATATTTAAAAAACAAGAATGTTTGATAGGTATTTTTCTAGTTTTACGGTGGAATTGGTTAATATTAAGTATACTAATAATTTAAGATTATTTCATATTTGTAAATATACATTAAGTGCAGAAAAACTAATATGTATATCGTGACTATCTTATATTGTCTATTAAGTTCGTTAAGCGATTTTTTGAAACGAAAAAGAATTTCCTTAAGAGTAGGCTTTAACACCTAGCCATTTCTAATTATTATTTCTTATACAAAGTTTGACATTGATTTGGATCATCAAGAAGGGATTTCTCACACACAATTTATACGGAACGACCTCGAAACTATAGCAATCCGCAGCTGGTGAACTGCAGACCCCGGCTGAGCTTTCCATTCTTGGTGCCGTAGCTCTGGATGCACTCGCATATCTTGCTGCCCTTCACAATGCGGCCGAATCCCACCCGGGATCCATTGACCACGGTGAGCGGCTTGAACGAGATGGCGAAAGACAAATGGTCGCCGAATCCTTTGACATGAGCCTTGCTGAAGGAAAGTACGTAGCTGGAGGCTCCGTGGTCAATCACCTTGGCGTCGTACTCCAGTGGCTGGTGGAGCAGTGATTCCGGCGTCAGCAGCAAATCCGTTTCCAGCCAGAGGTTTGGAAAGAGCCGTTTGACCAGGAACTTGGAGTGCTGGTCGCACATGCAGGACTTGATCAGCTGTAGGACCACCAGGGGTGCTGCCTCTGTGTACAGCTGGACCACAATCCTCCCCAGCGGACGAGCATCCTTCAGATATATTTCAAAGTAGATACGCGGACGGAAGAGGCGCCGCAGTTCGTCATCCGATTGGGGGAGCGGAATGTTGAAGGCCTCGTACTTGGCCATTGCCTGGGGCGGCAGTTCCAGCGGTGCCGCCGAGGCCGTGCTCCTGCCCACCGGCATCCGCTTTTCCGAGAGGCCCGAGTCCACCTCGCTGTTCACCTCCAGGATGCGTCGGCCGAGGTCCCGATTGTCGCGCTCCAGCTGCTCCAGATTGAGCAGGGCGTTGGGAATGGTGGACACGGCGTGGACAACCTCGTAGCGGAACGGATTGATGGCCCCGTGGGTGCGCATAGTGCGCGAGATCTCAACCAGCAGCTGGATGTTGGCCTTGGTCCGCTTCATAAACACCTGCGCCTCGTCGCGCAGATTGTTCACGCCGGTGGTGCGAGCCGCCTGGAAACTGGGCGCCTCCGCGTCCACCTTGCTGATCGCCTCCTTCACACGTTCGCGGTGCTGGCGCCACATCTTCATGCGGTTCACCATCGAAAGACCGCCCAAGATCTTCGTGGGCTTGGCCTTGGCCTTGGCCATCTTCCTGCGCTCCTTCACCTCCAGCTGGGCCGTCAGGCGCTCCTCCTCCGTGAGGCGCGCCAACTCGCAGGCCGACGGGGACACACAGGTCGGAAACTCAGTCATGGCGAAGGTCGAAAAAACTAATATCAAGAAACTAATATCACCTGAATCGAGAAATTTTCACTGGAAGCTATCAACCAAAATGTTACGTGGCTAAAACTGAAATAACCAGGAACGCCAGACCGTATTTACAAAAGTAATATCCAGGATAACTAAACATTTTTTAAAGTCAGGTACCTATATCTTGAATTAAGATTTCCTTTGATCTAATTTTGAAAAACTCCTTTGCAAAAGTCGGAAAAACTAATATTAAGAAATAGAACTAACAAAGCCCTTTTTAATTTAAAAATATTAAATTCATTTTACTCAATCTGCAGCTTATATTATGAACTCTTGCTTGGAAAAGTCGGAAAAACAGATGGGGAATTCTTTAATTTTAAAATAAGACATCCATTTTTTGAATGCAGTAGTCTTTTAATACTCATATTCCACCTGAGGCAGAAAGTAGGTTCGAGCTTATTTTAAAAAACATGTATACATATTTTACTTAAACTTAAAATAGTCAAAAGGTAAAAGGCTTTTACTGTAGCAGAGATACATGTCTTTAACCATTATTTAAAAGGCTTTAAGTCACTTTTGATACAAAGAATAATAAATACAAAGGTCTATTTTATTTTAACTTGTTAACTATGAAATCCATTTCCCCAGCTTGGCAAATCAATGTATAAAGGGAAAGGGGTACACTGGTTTTGGAAATACTTACACAGGACATTGATCGTGTGGGTGGAGACGACGTTCTCGGTCAGCTGCATGTTGAGTCCGTGACAGATGACGACCAGTGAGCGCTTGTTGGGCTCCACGGTGGCAGTGATGTTCGAGGTGGTCGTCCAACCGCCTGCGATGACAGACAGAGATGGAAATGGATTAGGCGTGGGACTGTGACTATGACACTCCGGCAGTGGCAACTTACCCTCGGGACTGACAATCGTCTTTGAGGTAGCGTTGCGCACCTGGCGCCCACCCACCATCCACTTGATCTCGGCTGGCGGATTGGATGGCGCGGTGGTGCATGTCAGCGGCACAATATCACCGACGCGCGCCTCGGTGGGTCCCATTACGGTGACGTGGGTGGGTGCAACTGGGGATGAAGAATGCGAGTGGGTTTGGGTTTGAGTTCGGGTTCGGGTTTGAGTTTGAGTTGATTCCAGTTACCGGGAGTCGCATAATGAAGGAGGCATAAATATGTAATAGGTCTGTGGTGAGCTCACTTGCGGCATGCTCCTGGCAGGCACACACAAGAGTATCTGCTATCCTAGCTTCCGGCCTGAAACCGAACCCCCTTGTTTCCCATGTTCCCATCTAATAGCCTTGGGGAGGAATGTCGGCTCCTGGTGCCGCCTCCATGCAAATGATGACTGAGTGACTGACAGCCCGTCCGTCTGCGGGGCTATTACCTAATGCCATCGAAGCGGAGTGGCAGTAGCAGCTGCAGCTGCCGCTGCCTTGATGGATAAGTGCATACATTACGCATACGCAGCGTTGTCTTGCGCTAGGGCATCGAGTGTGGGTGTGAGTGTGAGTATGGGTACGGGTATGGGTTTGGCGCGCAGGGAATACAAAACTTTCGACTCGATATGTTTCGCATATAAATAAACATTATGAATTCTTAACTTCTCGCATCTTTCGTCGGTCCGTCTTAGCCATACATCTTCATTCCGGGCACACGCCCAGGCACACTCACTGGCACACCCAGTGGCACACTCACGGGCACACTCACTGGCACACTCGTAAGGGGCAAAAGAATGCTGATGCTGAATGTATTCCTGCTACGTCTTCAGTTTTGTTGTTCCACATTCGTTATACATAAATAATGCGTGTGCTAAGAGCCCGGGCCGCCAGATGAGGCCACATCTGCTATCTATCTGCTACACAGGACGAAACTGTCCGCTATAAAGGGAATCAAGGTTGTCTTAATATACCCAAAAGTGAGAATATCTGTGGCATATCAATATATTATCTCCCAGTAGCTAAATCAGAAGGGGATCGAAAAGGGGGATTTGTAGGTTTGAATAAATCCCTCCTAAAAGTGAGAAACTATAGAACATTCGCCCCTGAGCTATTTAAACTTACCTAAAATATTTTTATCATAACACACATAAAAACTAAGGGTATAGGACCAAAAATGTATTTTTAAGATTAATAATATATATATTTAAAATGTATATAATTATTTATCTAAATGTTATCTAAATTATAAAAATAAAATATTTAAAAAAAATGTTTTCCTTCAGTGCAGTGTTTGTGAGCGACTGTTCGTGTATTCGTTTGTGCTGGCCACTCAATGTGGCATACTTATTGGGGCAAGATGGGGCCGAGTGGGCAGAAGGCCTGACCTGTATGGCGCTTTGATTGGTATGCGCATAAACTGGAAGCTGCCAGCTAAACGAGTCTTTGCCTTACTAGCGGGCGGAGTAACCCTAACCCGCCACGCACTTAAAGCCCGCTTCAGGTAAAAGATGCCAATTTCAGCGGACTGCCGAGTACTTGAAATTTAAATATCGCGCATACGCCGCGTTTAACGGCCGCCTCATCCATTTGCATGTGAGGCACATAAGTGTAAGTGTAAGTGTAAGTAAGTGAGAGGCGGCGGTGGGTTGGGGGCGTGGCATGCAAATGTTTGCTGGTCTCCTTCGTCCGTCCAAGTGTCGCTAACGACTTTGGCACCGCGTCGTTCCGCCCGTCGGCTTTGTGTGCCTGATTGCAATTGTTGTAACTCTAACAAGCTGCAACGTCTGAGCCAAGGGGCTAAGCGGACGGGGAGCGGGAATCTGCGCTATTTGGCACTTGAAAAGAATTTGCATTGCTTGATTTGACAAAGCCAAGTGGGACGCAGACTGGAGAGGCTTTCAAAGTGCAAACTTAAGCTTAATTGCAAAAGAAAGCATCAGCCAGCCGAGCGAGTTGCCAGGCTTATTTCAGGGGTACCCCAACCTACAGGCCTCCAGTCCTCCCATCCTCCCATCCTCTAACTTCTCTATGTGTGTGTGAGTCGGTTGCCAAGTGCTGCCGGCTCTGTGGAATTTGGAAGATGTCGCAGCCAGGCCTGGCTGTTGACACAATCCAGTCCCCACATCAGCGAGTGCTTGCTCTTAACTAACGATCCCCTTGGCCGCCATCGTGCAGCCCGCAGCCCGCAGCCCGCATCTAGACACCCATTGAACCTGATACGCTGCTCAGCCCGGGCTGCATAGATATAGATATGAACAACACACAATTAGGCGGCGCAAATTGGAGGCAGGGCATCGATGGTTCCATTGGAACTCCACTTACACAGCACAGCCAGCTCCACTTCCGCCTTCAGCGGATTCTGCGACATCACGTTGCTCGCCTCGCAGCGAAATCGCGCCCTGTTGTCCCCAGCCTCGGCGGTAAAGGTATAGATGTTCTCGGACAATCGGCCAGAGGTCCTGTTGATATAACAGAAACATATACCCACAATTAAACAATAATTATTGAAAGCTGTTCTTATATACCAAAGTCATGTCATAATTTGCTATCAAATTCCAATAAATTAGCAAATTTAATTGAAAATAGTTTTAAAAACAATATTCCTATGTTGTACTTATTTATGAAATATGAATTTAAAGAAATTTTTCATGGGCATAAATTAAATGCTTTTTTGTCCTAGTTTGGTAACTAGTTCACTAAATTTAATAGTTTTCTAAAAATTATTTGCCTACATCATATAATTTGATTTTAAATGCATATAATTAACAAATGTTTTTGATTGTGTGACTAATTTTGGAAACGTTAATCCCGATCAATACAATTATTTAAATAATAAAAAATAATTTCACATAAATTTATTCAGGGGCTTGGATCAAATTTGGTTTCTTGCATATTTGTCAGTGGACTTTGAAAAGCTAAACAAATTAAACAGACTTCTAAAATCGAATTACTTTGAAACAGTGCAAAATATAAACCGTAATTGGGCTTTTCATAAAAGGTGTTCAAAATTCAGTTTGTTAAGTATAAAGTGTTATGAAAGATCCCTTTAGTGCCCTTCTTACCTGTATGCCATGCGTATCTGGGAGCCGTTCTTGTACCAGATGAGCTGGGCAGGGGGATTGCCACCTCGACTCCGGCACATGAGCTCCACGGTCTGTCCACGCCGTAGAGTTTCACCCGGCGAATAGCCCTCGATATATGGCGGTCCCGGCGGATCTGTGGGTTTAGAAAGGAGTCCGTTTTGAATAAAAACTCCTCTGAATGCCGGGAGTTTGCTGTGTTTACAGTTCGCATATTTAATTGCAACTGCTGTCCGCAAATAAATTCAATTTACACTAAAGTATAGTGCGGGAAGCACATATGTGTGCATATACATACATATATTCAACTGAAATTCGTACAGTTTTTAATTGAAGTGTTTGCATGCAAATCGTTTATGCGGTCATATGCATTATTTTCCGATTTCGCCTTTTTTTAACCCCCGATCCGGGGTGTCGGTAATTTCAGTTGTTGTGGGCGTCGCACTGGACGATTAATAATAGTGTAAACCACCGCAAAGCAGTGGAAAAAGCATCGACAGAGCGTGTTAAATACATTTGAAAATTATCAGCCGGTGAAATATAATTGGTAGCAACTAGAAAAAGGGCGAAACCAGCCAGCTATCGATATTCCATGGGGGGAAATTGGGCAAAAACATTAACTCTTATCCGGCTGCTGTGTGCCAGTAATATGTTTTCTTTATCACAACTTGACAGGCGGTCAACTGGATTGAATCAACAGCAGCAATCAGGTGAGCCATAAAAGCTGCCAAGCCCACGCACACTCTTTATATGCATATACACACACACACACACACACACGTGATGTGCCCACACACTTTCCCCGTAGGCATGCAACGCAAAATTAAATTAAAATCACTTGAAATATTGTACGACCGGCTACGAGATGAGGCAGTGAGGATGCAATAATAGCGCCATAATTAAACCCCCACAGGAAGGGAAAATGAAAGGGGATATATTCCGGTCGCGTTCCCTGCGCAGATAGCGTAACTCGATTTTTCGCCATTTTCGTTTTTTTTTTTTTTTTTTGCCAATTACATCGCGACAAGCACTGGAAATGGCCAACGACCTGTGGCAGTTGGGGCCACCATTTGCCAGCTGCCTATGCATAAATAACAAACATAATTAATTTGAATGTGCGTGCAGGTGGAGCAGTAGCCATAGCAATGGCTCCCAGCAAATGCAGGTGCCTGGAGGCAACCACCGGCTCCATCGGCACCACCAGGGCCAATTCTGCCACCACTGCCGACGGCAACAATCAATAAGAGGACTTTTGCCATTCGTAATGGCTCTGGCTCGCGCTTCCGTGTAGCATCGCAGTTCGCAATTCGCGTCCACATTGGCAGTGGCAGCTGCACAGCACATTAGAATTTAAAAACTAATTAATACGCGCCCGAATCGCGCAATTAGCGGCCGTGATGGCAAATGGCATCCGCATCGGGCATCCACCGCGATGGAGTAGGGCACAAAAAATTCATTGCTTGCACTGGCAAAAAATTATGGCTCATTTTTCTGTTATTTGTTTTAACATTTAGCAAACTCCACAAATGGACAATTTGGTCAGCTTTAAATTCAAAACTTCATGTTGCTTATTTAAAATGCGCATACAAATGACGGAAGACAAAGAAAAATATATATAAATAAATATCCGACATGACTTTTAGTTTTTTAGAGAATTAGAGAGTTTAAAATTAAAATTTGTATTTAACTGATAATGAGAATACTTTTGGAATATTATTAGGATTATCATTCCCATTGCCAATTTAACAACTATGTTTAAGGAGAGAAGTAAAAAACGAGTACAAAATATATGTCATTTTATACAAATATTTTTAAAAATTTGAAAAAAAAAATTTTTAATTTTAGAAAATACAGAATCAACTGATTCACAATGGGCTATAAATGATGATTATTTTCAGTGAAATGTAGGAGCCTGTGCCTCTTTGGGGACACACCCCACATACACAAACCCCCAGCACGCACGTTCAATTGTATCGCAAATTGAGCCGGCTAATGAGGTCACCCACAACTTTTTTGGTCCACCCCAACAGATGGCGGGGGAAGAGGAAAGGTCTAGAGGCTGAGAAGCTACTCACACAACACGGACAGTTGAACGGTGGCCCGCATGGGCATGTCCGGGGACAAGGCCTTGTGCTTCGCCTGGCACGTGTACTCCGTGTAGTCGTCGTCGGGTCCCGGCTTCAGTTTAAGGCTCGAGGTGGTTGTGAACCGCTTGGCCGTCGACTCCTCCACGATGTCCTCTCGTTTTTCTGCAAGAACAGCAATCATATTCGTCAAAAAACAAGTGTTTGCATAAACTTATAGATGTGTATATGACGGTTGACTTTGATTTTAAAAAGCTTTATGAACTGACTAACTATTTGCTACGGTTTAAATTTGTGGGATCCTGTATTTTTTTATGAAGATTTTAAAATGACTTAATGAGGTGTATAAAAGTATGCAACAAAAAAGTCGTCTTTAGGAAAGAATGACACAAACTTTTAAACTCAAAATACATAATTGCATACCTTTAGACACCTTTTAAATATATGTTTGACATCCAATTGTTATTTAGTACAATTCTGTAACTTGTAGGCTAGTCATTCTCTATTCATTATGAAAATGGAATAAGAAATTCATCTGTATGGACAACAAATAATAAAAATATTTTATTTTCAAATACCCCCAAACCAATTAATATTTACTGCATTTGACAAGCGTTAAAGTTTAATGCCTTGAGATACGAGTATTTCTCAACTCCCATCAATTCCACACCAGCAGTGGAACATTGTGACATCATTTTCAGTTATAAATTTTGAACGAGCCTCATCTGCGCCAAAAAGTGAGGCCTAAAAAATATGCCCCACCCGCACAACTATCGTGGTGGAGCAGCACCATCATTTTGCCGAGGGGTAATCACCAAGATGGCCGTCTGCCCACATTAACCGCCATTTACGCGTTCCCATCACACTCACACCACACACACACCACACACACACACACTCCCCTGACAGCTTGCAAATGATACAAGCGCCAGACCGAAACTGGCCATTCTCGTAAACCCCGGACCGAGGGATCTATGGTTTGGGGTCCGGAGGCGACCAGAGAGTCCCTGCCGCAACATATTGCGTCATAAACATAATTCATCATGCAGCTTCCTTCCGCTGTCCACATTTCCTTGCGGATTTTCCTACATTTTAACGCCGCTTTGCGTATTTTCTTCTCTCTTCCTGGCCTGTGTTGTTTTCCTTTTTTTTTTTTTTTTGTTATTTTATATGTTTACCCGAAAAATTTCCATCATCATCGTCGCCGTCGCCGTCGCCGTGCGTTTCACATTTTAAGCATTTTTAACGCGCCAGTTGTGCTAAAATGATTTCGTTACTGGCCAAATGGCAGGAAAAGAGCGGAAAATCCGCTACGCGAAAAGGGGCAACAACTGAACACCCTTGTCCACCCACATGTTCGGTCGGTCGGTTGGTCGGTTGGTCGGTTGGTCGGTGGGTCGGTTGTAGGGGCCATAATCATTATGAAAATTAAAAGTCGTGAAGCGCCTCCCCCCTTTCCGCTTAGCCCATTTGCCCATTTCCCCATTGACATTTGCATTTTTCCATATTTTCCAGCAGCTCTGTTTTCCAATTTGCTGACTGCCCAGCAGCGGCTAAGTGACAAGGCACAAACACAGGATCCTGGATCCAGGACTCAGGACACTGGACTCTGGACAGGACAGGACAGGACAGCGAACCACACAGCAGATAAGGGCTGAACATCGACAGTCGGCGCTTTGTTGGAGTATAAAATTATTATTTAAGCACCGTCATCAGGCCGAAAGTCGACGTCCATTTCCCTGTCGCCCCCGCATCCTGCCGCCCACCCTCTTCCATCATATCACATGTGCGATGGCCAAACGGTTGACAGGCGTCACTTTGCCCATCTCCATCTGCACGGCCCTCGTGGTTCCCCATCTTCAGCGGGCCCCAGCTCATCCCGGCTAAAAAGGGCCTGGCCAAAACCCATTTACACTTTTTGTATTCTGCATAATGCCTTCCCAGAGAAAATGTATATTGTTATGTTCGCATAACCTATGTTGTTTTAGGCAGTTTAATATAGCTTGGATATCGCAACGCAGTCTTGGAATATAGAGAGGATGTGTTATAAAATATTATTACTATTTTTTATTACATTTACTAAGTTTGGTTTACTCCTCCTTTAGTTTATCTGGGTCTTTAAATTGTTTTATTGTTTGAGTTTTATTAGAGCCTATATTTGTATATTTTAAAATTTAATTACTACTATGTAGTTAAAAGCTGTTTATCTCGATACCTTTGATAACGAAATCTTTGATTACCTAAATATTATTTAAATTGTACATAATTTTTCTGACTTTATGTAAATCGATAATTGGTCAAGAATAAATAGAATTTTAATTAAATGTGTAATATGTATAGTCCACAAATCGATTGATTGTTTCAGTTATATTTATAAGAATGTTTGTGTTCTAGTTTTAATTAAATTGAAATCGAAATAAAATCAAGCCTTTGTGTGATTGCTGTAAAATTATTTACAACTATTTATTATTTGTTTTTTTGCTAGGTCAGAGCTTAAAGTTAAAGCTTTCTCTGAGAAGTAAAATTTCACCTTAGTGACAGGTGCGTGATAAAAGCCATTTTGGCCGCGGTTGATGGCACATGGATGAACATTAAATGTAATGACTAAGTGGGAGGCATCAACTGCAACTGGTACTAACCTGGTTTGTATTCCACATTGCCGCGATACCAGACGATTTGAGCCGCCGGCTTAGCATTGGCCACGATGCACTTGAGCTGCAGGTCCTGGTTCTCGCGCACCTCAACCTTGGAATTGTGGCTGTAACCTTTGATCTCGATCGAGGCTGGCGGAGCTGGAAGAGAAGCATTTTGCAACGATTAGGGGCTGGTCCACAAAGAAAGTTCGCGGGGCGGTGGGTTGTAGGTAGTCGGTGGAAAATGGTAGGTGGTAGATGGTGGGCTAAGGCCGAAACAAAAGCTAATGGCTGCCAGGGAAGCTTTGCTCATTATGGGCCACAATGGCATTACAGAACGTTTTGTGGGCGTCGTTGGCGTGGCACTGCCTAATGCATTGTGTGTATGCGACGACAGACGACATTGTTGTTGAAGGCCCAGGTTGAATGGCCGCCGATGCAGAAACAGAAACAGCAGTTGGAATTGTAATGGGGAACAGGAAGGGGGAGGGTAGAGGGGGAGTTGGAACCGAGGCAAGAATGCACCAAGAACGCAGCATTTCGTCCTTGTTAACCACCCACTTCACCGGCCCCATCTACGAATGCACTCAAAAGAAAATTATCAATTCTGCTATTTAAATTGATGTATTTTTAAAATATTTCATTTTGATTCGTGATATTAATTGTTCTGCGTATTTGTATACTTTTAAATATTAAAGTTTCATATTCTGTTTTTTAAAATTTGCTGTTAGTTAAATTAATACATAAAAAATTACTTTCAGATAAATTCATAAATGATATTAAGAAAGAACATTTTTCCACAACAGCATTTTAAATCAATGTCAAAACTTAACATTACAATCTTACAATTTTTAGTCCTGATAATTTATTTTACAGAACGTATTTGCTCTGTGTTTAATTGTACCCACCAGAAACTATCTATAGTCTACTGTAAATTAATCAAATATTTATTTAGGGCTTAACCAACTAAAAGATTATGTATATTCTTTCAAACGTATGAATCTGAAATAAAAAGTAATTGCTTAAAATTGGTCCTCTGTATTTTAAAAACATTGCTCCTTAGTAAGGTTAAAATTTTTAATTTTACTAGTGCTGATTTTTTTTGCTCCGTGTAGGCAGTTTCCACGTTAATGTGCTCAAATATGAGTTTCAATATTTGCGCTCAAGAGGACATATATGAGGTGGAGGGGTGCGAGCGGATTGGGGCGGTGGGGCATGTTGAGCATGCCTGGGCCGGTATGCCTTGGCAAACTGTTGAAATATACACGAGCCACCGGCGAAACAATGGCTGAGTGACGCCGGGAGGTGCCGAGTGGTGCCAAGTGGGTGGTGCAAGTGCATGTTGGGTGGTGCATGAGTGCAGCAGATGCAGAAACAAGCAACGAAGCAACGAAAGTACGAGCGTGCAGCGAAACATACAACGAGAAACGTGGATAAAGTTAAGTGCACGTGTGCATTATTTTAATGCCACCTGAAGGAGTTTGGCTGCCATTGCCATGCACTAAGCGAAAAAGGGAGCAGGAATAAGAGCAGGAGCTCTAGCAGGAGCCTACACTTTCAAGGGAGTTGGCTTAGGGAGTCCTGCATTTGACATGCAACATATGTTGCCGTCTGCTCCGCGAACTACTCCAGAAGTTGTTGCATGCAAAATGAATGCTTAATGTCGCACAAGGAGTCCCTCCTCGCTTCCAAGGAGGGCTTTTGGGTGGCTTTCGGGTGGCATTTGGATGGCTTTCATGGTGGAGGGGCTCTGAGGAGAGGACGCGACTGCGATATTATTCTGCGTTGAGGTAATTGCTTTTGTTGGGACACAAATGAAATCAACACCACACGGGCGATGCCCCTCTCCCTTTGATTAAGTTTTGTTTAACATCGCCGCCAGCTGCGCAAATTATTATGCATCAAATCAAATACATGAATGTAATTTCCAAATCAGGAATTCCGATATTAACTTTCGTTCGCTCAATGTTCGCCTTTTCCTCAACGGCATTGATTTTCCGGTTTATTAATAAACGTATCCTGGGGTGAGATGACTTTTGTAAATAGTACCTGGTTTGCTCTTCAACAAATGCCATTGTAGTTATTTAGGTCATTTAAATTGAATAAAAAAATGTTTTTAAAGAAGAAAATATTTATGGCATGTAAATTCTTGAAGTAGTTTTCTTTTAAGACATACCTTTGCTATTAGAGTTATGCAATTAATGGTGTTTTCTATTTATATATTGAACAAATTAAGCTGCACATAAGCTTAATTACTAGTTAACCTTTTTAAACGCCCGATTACTTGAGTAAATGAGAAAGAACAATTGCTTGTATTTATCAGTAATTAAACAAGTAAAAATGCTTGCAGCAGACAAACTATAACCATTGACTATATAGGTTTTCGCAATATTTGATCTATATTTTACAAGGCTACAGATGCGCTGCTTGTTGTGCCGGGAAAAAAGTAAAACTCTCTGCCTGGGGAAACGCGAATGGCAGCCCTAGATCATCCTGCACCCAGCATCAACCTTGACTAAAGGCTTTGTGTGTCGAAATTGGTGTCGCCATGGCCCCGCCGGCTATACAGATTGTCCGTGGACTTTCGTTTCGGGGGCTTTGAGGGGGCGTTACGTGCATTGAACATTCATAATATTTGGCACACCGTGGCAGGGCTTTTAAGGGGGGAGGCGCACCGTGGAAGGGCGTGGCACTGCGCGTGCTGCATAGTTAAAATCCGAAATATATGCACATTTTATGATTTTTCTTGCGCCAAGTCCTGGCAAATGCAACTCAATTTATGCCAAAGCGTGGCCTGCCATCCTGCGCCGACATATCTATATCTATATATATGTAGGTATGTGCCTGTGGATTGGAACGTGGGTATGTGCATTCCTGATTGCTATGCATATTGTATTTGATTATTGACAAAGGAGCAAGAGGAACCATTTTAAAGGCAACAACAAGGGGGCCCAGTGGTCTCAAACAGCTAGGCAACGAATTTTACTCAACCATATTAAACATACACGTGTTTACTAGAGAAAGTCAACAAAATATTTAAATGTAGTCAAAGGAAAAAAAACTGATTTTCCGTCTTGGTAGACTATCTGCAAGGGCTTTTATGTAAATATTAATAAAATCATAGTGCAGTTGAGTAACATGAGTAAAATAGTTTTCAATATTGATCCGACTCTCAATAGGATTTTGATTGCAGCACTTTCTTAGCAAATCTTAGTAAAGCAAAAGTAAAATCCTTAAACTTCTGTTGAAGTCACAAAAAAATAAAAAATAAATTTGTGTAAGTATAAGCGCAAGCATATTTAAGTGGTGTTTAGAAGATGTTCTGTCTAACAATATCAATGTGATTATGTTGTCTTTGGCAGACTATTACAAAAATTGTGTATAGAAAACTGTAGATAGCAATCTGCAGTTAATAATTCAAACTTATTTTGTATGTCCTGGCTTAGTTTCGGGCCATACCAGGTAAAAATCCGGCGACTGTGCTGGCTGTGCTAAGGTTAAATGTTGATTACGTTTTATGCTCAAGCCGCGCCCCCACATGACAGTGGTGGGAAGTGGGTGGAACTTTCATGGTGGGTGGGTGGTGCAGCGCTATTCTTTGAGTGCACCGTTGGCTGGCATCAAATAATTTATGCAACAATGGCTGCAATAACGGCACTGGCAGCGGCAGAGCTTGAGCTGGAGCTCCATCTAGCTCCAGTTGCCGGATTCCTGGCAAGCGAGAGTACACAAAGTGCAATTTGCCATGAACACTGGACCCGTTCCCGCCCCTGCCCCTGCCCTCTTTTTGCAGTCGCCCCTTTGGGCCACGACACCCCGGCTAACCCACTAATAGTACGCCTCATAAAAGTTTTATGCGCCCGAATACTTTTTCAGCCCTTTTGCCATGCGGCCCACACACCACCCACTGCAGCCCAATCTCAATCCAAGGCGATGGCAAGAATTGGCCACTTTTTTTTTTCGTTTTGGGCCAAGGGAGCTGGCTGACTGGCTGACTGGCTGCCTGGCTGCCTGGCTGTGATGTAAGTTGAGCCATCAGGCCCAGTCACACCCGGAGTGTGACCCAAGGCGTTTGGGGCTGACTTTAAGGTCAGCCTCACATAACAAATGCGAGGCGATATTTCCCGGGAATGCCGGCGCAGATGAAAACTTTCCTCATTTGCACTTCAATTACAACCGAAAGTGGTGGCTGGGGTGGGTGTGTTTTTGAAAAATGTGCGGACATTTGAAAATCAATGAAGTGCGTCTATTGGCCGGGAAGGAAATCCCACTTAAATTCGGGCTGCATTGTAGTCAAAAATTTATAAACGCTCCAAGGTGGCTGCTGCAAGTGCTCTCCATTCTCCTGGCCATTTCACCACATAACCATTCCATTTAGCATTTGCCGTTTGCCGGTTGCCATTGTCCGCCACCCGGGCAAAAAGTTTTGGCTCTTGGATTCGGACCCCGACATGGACATGGACCTTGCAGTTGCCTTGCGGCATATGTGTTTTTGGCTTCATTGTTTTTTTGCTCTATTTTTTTTTTTTTTTGTTTTTGGTTTTTTTGTATGTATTCCAAATTAATGGCATGCGAAAATTTTCTGGGAATTTCCATAAATTTCCACGTGGACTTTTGTGTGCAAAAGTTCTTTGCTTTGCCAAACTTATAATCTAATTGCGCCCTCACGTTTATTTTTCCCCATATATACTACGTATGTATATTTTGTATGTCGGTGGGAGTGCGGAATAATTTTTGGAACTTTAACATAAGCACGGCTGTGTAACACCCAAATTGCTGCAGAAACTTTGCAACGGAGTCTGAAAATTTAATTTGAGCAGGACAAAAGGTGAGTGCCATTAATATTTAATAGACTATCTGCACAAAGTTTTAATTAAATCATATCTTTCAAGTAGAGATTGCATTAAGAGAATACTAGTGCCTTTTACCAAATGAATTACTTATGAAAAAAATCTTTGATATATACGCCCTTTGCGCTTTTTTGCAAAATTTAAATGCAATTTATTTTTCAATCAAATGGATTTTTATTTGACATTAAATTTTATCGTGTCTCCTTGTGTTTGTTGTTAGTTATAATGTTTTGCCCAAGGACAGTAACAGTACTTTGTTTATTGAGCTCATTTTCGCCAAGCGAATATACTTAAACAAATAGCTTTATATTTCATGAATGCAAACAGGAGATAAATGGCGACAAATATGTGTTCGGAATAAATCAAATAAATATAATTCGAACTTAATTGAATTATTGGGCATTTGTCCACATTTCCCTTTGGCTAATTGCAGCAATAATGTCGCACGTGCCTCCCACTCACACACACACCTTCGCCTGGCATGCCCACATCCCCAAATGTCCAAATGACCAAATACCTCGGACTGGGACTGGGGCCATAGACACATGTCATTTGCTCTGAAAGCCAAGACGAAGATTCCATTACAAAACAATGGCTGGGTGTTGGCTGTTGACTGTTGGCTGTCGGGTGGTTGAGCCACCCACTTGGAGTGGGTGTTGTGGAGAACAGCTCTCACACAAGTATCTACAATTATGACAAACATGCCATGTGACGGTCGACCTTTCGCCGCTCCAACAACAACTCGCAGGCACTAACAAGCTCGGTCTAGCATCCGAGACTCCTCCTCCTCCCCCCTCAGCATCCCCAGCTATGTATGCTGGCTTTTTTCCCTATTTCATGTTATTTTATTTTTATACACGGTGTTCATAAAAATTAAGGGTATATTCGAACTACATATGTATTGCATTTGCAGGTAATAGAAATAGTTACACAGCTCAAAAGGGCAAAACCACTTTTTTCAAATACTTTTATAAGGTTTGCCGGTATTTTAAAAAATATATAATTGTTTACTATATTCATCAGACCGTTATTTTGTCTTTAACCAAATTGAGAAAGTAAAAAAAAACTATGTTCGGCTTAATAATCGATTTACCAAAAAAAACAAAATATCTTATGTATATTTTTAAATTTCAGGTATAGGATTTCGAAAAATTGTCTGTTGTCTTCTTGCATTAAATTTCACAAAATGATTAGAATCTAATGTTTTTTATATATACAATATATATGTAGGTATAGTATTATTGTTACTATTGAAACTATTTGCGGACGTATGGCATTTGGTATGTGATTTCACCCAAGGAACCGCCTAAAAGTCTGATGATGTGTCCTGGGTATCACTCAGTCTGGGTGCTTTTTCTCGTTTTTTTCATTTTTTCTCCCCGCCCAAGGCCTCGAACACACACACATCGCCTTTGTCACAGCTCATGGCGCGTAATTAACTAAACAAACGTCATTAGGCGAGTGTATGCGAGAGTGTGCGAGTGTGCGTGTGGGCGAGTGCGTGGTCCTTGGGCCCCGGAATGTACGCTATACGTTTGGTGAGTGGTAGCTAAGGAGTCTCTTGATGTCTCGCAAAATTTCTTGGAAGGACCAAACGAAGCGGGCCAAATGAGTATCGCTGTCATCAAATGTTGCGCAATTCCTTGAGTGATTACAATTACAGCAACAGCAGCAGAAGCAGCACATTCAAAGTGATTGCTAGACGACAATGCAACAGCCGAAAACGAGTCAAAAAAAAGGGGCCAAAACAAAATGGAATTCATTTCGCATCGCTTTAGCCTGCAGTGGAGATACAGCCCCGTTTTGCACCACGCCCAGCATCCCCTGGCTTGCCGCCCACTTTGGCTCCTTGGAGCAATAAACTGCGCTAAATTCAGCTCAGCTCAGCTCCGTGATGCCGTAGCTCCTGTTGGCGTTGCTGTTGCTGCTGTTGTTTTGCAAATTGCTGACAATAAATGTTGGCAGCGACAGGGACGACAGCACCGACAAGGACGGCAGATGTGGGAGTGGGACGGGTGTTGGGAGTGAGGCAGCCCGCATTTAAATTTCACTAGTAGAATTCCATAGGTGCAATGAGCTGGAAACAGCAGGAATGTGTGCCACTGTACGTGTGCTCGTGTGTGGGGCGCCCCCGGTGACAAATTCATTTGTATTTATTACTTAAATTAATTGCAGCCCCCAGAAAAAGGCGAACCCGAACAAAAGGGTAAATTCAATTGAGTGGGTGGCCTAAAGCCAAAGGCATTTGGGCGATCTCGAAAGGGGTTTCCGACAAAACTACTTGGTATACTAGATAGCTATCTGGAAGTCAGCTTGCTTGGAGTCAGCTTGTTGAAATAGTCGGATATTTCCTTGAAACTAAATTGTTTGTAAAAGTCAAAATGTTCATTAACTCAAATTAAAATTTGGTTAAGTCTAAATTCGGTTTCTTTAGTAATATATATAGTATTAAGTATGTTTATTGAAAAACGAAACATGACTAAAAGCAAAGACGTTCATAGCAGACAATTTAAAGTAATGTCTAAAACTTTTAGCTTGGCAAACACAAAAATGTAGAAACTAAAGGTATAATAATTAAATATTTGAGACAGTTATTCAACATATGAATGTTAAATTATCTATAAAATTATTTAGCAATGAAATTTAGATATGTGTGTATAGGTAAGAAGCGAAAGCACTTTGATGCAGCCTGCTGAATGTTTTGTTATGTTATAGGTTCAACATTTGTGTTTACGAAGTTATGTATATTAATTTAAAAAAATTTGATATCCGAAAAATTAGATGTGGGAGGTGCGACTTCATATCTCGTTAAGGGATGATTTCACTATTTGATGTTGTGTTTTGATATTGAGTTCGATTGCTGTTTTTAAAACTTATTCTTTCTTAAAACGATTTAACAGCTTAAATAACTTAAAAGTCTTAGCGAAAGGCAATATTCTTGTTAAAATTGGTTGGTCGGTAAATGACAAAGGAAAGTTCGCCTTGTTTTCTGTTTAAGGGTTGGCAGTCAGAATTCCTTGGCTTCCTAGGCTTGTCGTTATAGAAATTAACATCACTTTGAGAAAGCAAATCTGAATTTTCAAAAAAATTAAGTTAGATTACAAAAAATAACCTTTACATCATTCAGAAATCAATCGTATCCGTCGGTTTGGTTTGACATTTAAGAAAACTTATATATTTTTCTGAAAACCTTTCCTTGATATTGTGCACAAGTTTAACTTGGTTTTAACTTTCTCTGCCGGATTACAAACCTTTCGTGTTTTTTATTTTAGGAAACTTAAAGAACATTTGAAAAACCTCTCCTCCAATCTGGGCATTACTTAATGGGACATGTGGTACTCACATATGACGGTCAGCTTGGCATTGGCTCGGATCGCGCTGTTGAGCCGCGCCGGTCCCACCTGGCACTGGTAGTCGGCGTCGTCGTTGATCGAGGCGTTCGAGATGCGCAGGTTGTAGATGCCCTGCTTGCGGTCGCCGAGGACCGAGTAGCGCGGGTAGCCGGGGATCACCGCCGAGAAGCCCAGCGCGAAGCCGTCCTTGGTCCACTGGACCGCCCCGGCCACGTTGGCCACCTCGCAGCGCATCATGGCCTCGGCTCCTTCCAGGACCTGCAGGTCGTGCGGCGTGGTCCGGAACTTCTGCTGCTGGGCGTGGCTGGGGGCGGGGCCGCTGGCCAGCACGATGACAGCTAAAAAGGGACAGAAAAAAAGAGAGAGTGAGAGTTAGAGTGATTCATTAGTGATGCACTTAATTAATTGTCCTCGCGGCCATTTGTTGTCTCCGGTCTGTGCGTCCGTTGGGTTTTCGTCCTCTATTAAAAACGTGACTTTCTATCGCAGCGCCGTATGATGAATTATGAAATATGTGTTTACTCAAAAGTCCGCGATCCCAGTGCCCAGTGCCCAGTGCCCAGTGCCCATGGCCCGCAGCCCAGTCAAAGCGAATCCCGACCGCAATAAAACAGGACATTCCGCAAAGCTCTTTCCGTCGGTGCCCCCGGCTCTGTCGACGAACTTTGACCGTTTCCAGCTGCCTTATAAAAAACGAACTGCGCAAAAACTTGGCCAGAAACGCTCCGTTCCGTTCTTTTTTAATGAAAAACAAACACATTTCCCGGACCCGAAACGAAAAAGCGCGTTTGCCGTGCCACAAAAGCCAATTGTGGGTGTGGTCCGTATCCGTGTCCGCAGTCCGTTGTCCACAGTCCGTTGTCCGTAGTCCTCTGTCCGTGTCTGTTTGCCAAGACACATTGCAGACTGCTGCAGTTGTGGAGTTCATTTCTTGCCGCCGAAACTATTAAATTGTGCGAGTTGGTGGGCAATGGTGGTGGTGGTGATGATGGTAGTGGTGGTGGTGGTGGCTTTGCCCGCGGCAGTGGCGCATCTAAAATCAACAAAAGCATTTAACGCGACGGTCGTCAGTCGAGGCAGCTGCACTTGTTTTTGGTGTCCTAAAATCCAACCCAAAAAAGCATTTTCCACCCACTGCCGCCGCCCCGTGAAACGAGCATTTTATTCGCGCTTTCATAAATTTCCCAGCAGAGACTATTTCTTGTGCCCGGGCGGGCTCTGTTTATTTATAAGCAACGAAATGCAGTTTTAAATCTGTGCAACCCACTTTCCCTCCCCCCACCCCCTTTCCCTCTGGCAAGGGGGAGAAGAACAAAAAAATGGAAATAAAATAAAACTTAGCTCTGGCTCTACCAACTGGCAATGATTAATATGGCCAGCAATTTGCATACGCATCATGGCTGAGTGGGATTGGTTAGGATGGGAATGGGTTGGCTGGGCTGGGCTGAGCTGGGGTGGGGTGTAAAAGTGATGGGTTAGAGGGGGTAGGAGAGGGCGGTAAGAAGAAATGAATTTTAAATAAGAAAAATATCACAGAGCAGCCGGGTTAGGAACTCATTCGATGCCAAACTCTTTACGATTTCATTATTTTGCCCTTTTTCGTACATAATTTGTTTGGCAAAAGAATGTGAAGGGAACAAGCTGGGAATCAACAACAATTTGCCCATCCCTTCATGCTCTCTGGATTGATGTTGTTGTTGTTGTTGTTGTTGTTGTTGTTGTTGTCGAACAGCCAGCAGCATTACGGGCAATTTATATAAATTTCGCTGTTACACGAGGGGGTTCTGTGTAGGGGTTGGCATCTGTCAGTCCCAGACGAGAGCTAGCTATGAAAACCAGACCCAGAACCAGAGCCAGAACCAGAACCCTTGCCAGGAACAGCCATAGAAGCAGACAAGGATCAACATAACCTTCGGCCTGTCGCAAATTTTTGCCTATTTCACCGCACGCACAAGCAAAAGCACACACATGTTGGCCTGGGGAGTTCATAGTTGAGTAAATTTTTACCTCGTTCGGAAGGCGATGGAGCCTGATCTCCCCAGCCTGTCTATCTACGCATTTTCGCTGTTTTCATCGCTGTGCCCCGCCCCCCTTCCCCTACCGTCTTGTCTCATATTTTTCAAGCGAAAAATTTTAATAAAGCAAATTCCTATTTTACGTCCTTACGGCCCCACTAAAAACGACGAGGCTAAAAATTAAGCGTGACGCCCCAACTCCCGGTGGCACTTTCGCCGAAATCCTCTCCATTCCATACGTCATACGCAGTGTGGTCCCCGGAAATAGACGAAATGAAAATGGAAATTCACACGCAACAAGCTAATGGCGGAGCAGGGAGACAAGAGGACAAGAGGACGAGCAGCGACTGACAGCTGAAAGTGCGAAAAGGATTTAAATGCTTTAGGCGTCGCCTTTTGACCTGCACCCGCCCTCCATCGCCCGCCATCGCCATCCAACCTCTGTCTGAATATGACTCCCTCTTTGGAGTCCCGGAAACGTCAAGTGCCATTGTCGAATTTCTGTGTCTCCGCTCGAGGATTCAAGGATGAGGACCAAAACGTGCGTGGTTTTTAGTGTCGCGTTCTCTTGATTGTTTTCCAGGCCGGGGCTGAAACAACAACACATGAGACGGGCAACAAATCCCGGCCAGCTTTCCGAAAAAGGGTTGGCCGGGTCTTGTTTTACGAGCGGGGGACTATCAGTGTTATTGTTATGACTGAAATTTGATGGCCCCGTTCGTTCTTCTGGCCAAGTGATGTATGTGCGTCCTGTGCGGCTCCTGCTGTCCCACATTTCAAGATTCGCTCCGCCCGGCTATCTTTGGCTACCAACAGGCAGCCGGCGCTGATTAAGCAGCCGGGTATCGGATTAACCAGAGGCTGGCTGGCGAACGAGACACCTGAGTGGGTCGCATCCAATTCCCAGAGACCCAAACAGAACAAGAGCCCCCCTCTCCCCATCACCAACCTTTTCACACATGCAGCACTTAAGTTTTATTTGTTTTTGCTTTAAATGCTGGCACGTATTCGGGATTTGGTGGGTCAGACGAAGGCCTCCAGGGTTGCCAAGCGGCGTTTTGGAGCCTTGCAAAATTCCCGACGCGTATTAATTTGACGATTATTATTTCCGCTCACACACAAGCAGCTTTAGCTTTGCTTTATGGTTATTGTACACCGAAGAAAATCTAAAATCCAACTAAGTCTCAGCATATGGGGTTGGAAATTGGATGAAAAATGTTCTTAAATTATTAACACAAGAATTTGTAGCTGTGTTGTCAAAATTTATAGAAAAGATAAATTATAGAGGCAGTACTAGCATGTGCAAAAAGTTAGAAGCTATAAGACTTTCTAATACATTTTTGTTAATAAAAGAAATAGAAAATAGAATAGAAAATATAACTATAATATTTTAATGTTTATTTTAATTTGTCATTTAAGGTTATAAAACTGTTCCACTAACAGATGAGGCTTAAAATTTGCAATTTAGGTCAAGTTTTTGGGCACATTTATTGGTCATAAAAAGTACACTTTGAGTGACTTGGGGATACTTCTTTTTTGCACCTTCATTTTCTCTACGTGTATTACTTATGGTGCCTCCTACTTTTTCGATGGGCGTGGCTGGCACGTAAGCTGCCAGAAAAATAAGAAAAAATTAGCGCTGCCTCAGCATATTGTCGCAGCGCATCCGCTCCAGCGACTCCATCTCGGATCTTTGGGAGCTGAAAACTGAACACTGAAAAACGGAAAACTGGGAGCTGCCACCATCAATCGAACATCCGTGGCACCTTTCGCCGGCACATCCTTTTTGGCTACGGGCCTGGTCTGCTTCCAGCAGCCTGCAGCCTGCAGCCTGCTGCCACGCCCCCTTGTCGGCAACGTGCCTGGCATTTGCATGGCAAGGAGTACTAGCTGTCGAAGTCGAAGGCAAATGTTTTATAACGATTTTCGGGGAGGTGCTGCAGTTGGCAGTTGGCTTGTTCAAATACGATATAACAATAGTCGGAGCGAAGCTGTCATTCTAATGGTGCATAGTGCATAGTGCATAGTGCATAGTGCATAGTGCATGCTGCATGACGCATGCCACATGCCAAGTTATCCTGCAGTGGCTACGTGCTCCTCCCTATCAGCGCCTTTGTCCCGTTCGGAGGATTAACTAATTGAATTTGCAAGTCGCAAGCGCTTCGCTTTATGGCGGTTTTGTGTGCGGACCTGAATCCGATTGACAGGACTTCGATTGGAAAGGACTCACCGAAAATCTAACAGTTTGGGCAACGCCATGCAACGTGGTCTCTAATGAGAATCCAACTTAGATTGCTGCAGCAGGGGCTACAAATTGCAATTACTTGCAACACTTTGCGGCACCGCAGGCAGTCGCCCGTCGGCCTCAACTCCTGCTCATCGTATCTCCATTAACAATGTGGCAGGACCTGGACCTGGAGCTGCATGGAAGCCATGGAGACAGCGGTAGGACCAACAGCAATAATAACAACAACAGCCGTAAATGGTAATCACCCAGCGCAGCATTATTAACATCATCAAGGCGAGCGTTATTAAAACCGAGTAAAAGTCCCTTGCGCCACCTGCTGGCCGGCATGGCAACTCGACTAGCGCCACCTGCCGGCCGAAGGACGACCAGTTTGCCCCGCCGCAGGACCAAGTTCGTGAAACCCAAAATGAAGAAAAAAAACACCAAGGACTAGATAATTTGCAGCTTGCGTAGTGAATAAATTCTTGTTAATAGTGCAACAAATTCGCATTTATGGAGATGCATGCAGTTTGAGAGGCCGCGGTGAGTGTAAAACTGTAATTAAGTCGCAAATTTATTCAGTCGTCTTTTGCGGCAAGTATTTGTGGCAAGTTGAAATTGGTTAAGTTCAGCAAATTAAGGTGGCAATGGTTTAAAATTGTATAATTGAAATACAGAGCCATTTATTAATCAGAATTCGTTTACCAGCTGAGGCTATAATTCGGATTTAAATTTTAATAGATAAAAGTGACACAGAGCTTTATAATCTATTAGACTAATTTTACTGCACTCTTGCGATTTATGCTTTCAAAAAGTACACTTAACTAAATTTCGCCCTATATACATTGTGTCATTAATAGAAACAATAAATTTAGTCAGTTACAACAATTTAAATTAAATGATGCTTACCAAAATTACAGACAGAAATAATACACTTGTCCTTTTAATATCATTACAAAAAAATATGTTTTGGCTTATATGTGAAAACAAAAAAAATGTTTTTTTAATAAATTACTTTCATTAATTTACCTCTAAAACTTGATAGTATATTAGATCAATAACTCAAATAAAGGTATTATTTTCAATATAATTTAAA